TGATGTGAAGCGGACTGGTGACTGATTTGTTGGTCTTGAACTTTCTCTTGACATGTTAAAGTGGAGGTCATTCCCTTGATTGACTTTGATAGTCGTGGAAACAACAACTGGACACCATCATGACAACAGCTGTAAATGGACAGACGGATCTTTGTCAGCTTCTTGTGCCGAACAATCTGATCTGGAACTGATTGATAAGTCAATGCATCTTTATTTCTAGTTGATGGAGGCCACTGTAACAACATACGTTTTACATTACAGATACATTTGACTTATGACTATTTTGTTCCATGAGTTAAGTATGAGAATTTGACTGTACCTATTGCACTAACAGTTCACACGTGTTTGTAATCAGTAATGATATGATGTAAGTATTGAATAATGAGAAGCAGTTCAATCAGATACGACTGAGGGGCTCAGATGTCAGGATAAATTGATTAAGTGTCGGTGTGACCAAACACGAAATGTACGCCTATCATTCTGCAGTAGATTGCCAATTGTCTTACTTCCTTCTGACATTTACATTTAGTCTTTACAGCTTCATCCACCCGATGTTGAATTTGTCTGCATTTCTCTGAAACGTGAGATTACACTAGGGGGGACGGGTGGCCCTGTCGTCTAAAGCGCCGCGATTCGAAGTACAAAGTTGTGTCCCTTGGGCACGCCAGAAACCTATGATTGTGGGCTCGAATCCCGGTTCGCCCCGATTATGTTTCAAGGTTTGTCAGCACCATACCCGTGCTCGTGGGTTTCACCGAAGTGGTAAACGTCTGAGACCTGCATCACTTCGAGCTTTCCTCTCACATTAAGCTGACACGCCGCGATGTAACTGGATTACTGTAAAGCGGCGTTAAACCCAGCTCACTCACTCACTCACTGAGATTACACTAAACATGAGACCACCTGACTACATAACTGATGTTGCATGTGTGAATACACTTGAGTCCACTACTGTAAGGACATACGATGTGTCCTTTTCCCTTATCCCTGCACGGATTAACTGATCGTGTATTCCAAAACCAGATTCGTCCAGTGTCGATTTGTTGTTTAGTCATCCGAATATTTGTACTCGAAACTTTGTAACTTTGTGGGAGGACTGTCAGACCCCTGCATCATTAATGTGACGGGCGGCAATATAACCTGACTACAGTTGACAACGGCGTTAAATACTGCTCCAATACACTCACAGCTGGTAGCATGGTGATATGTGCTTAAAGGGAAATAACTCTTATAACTCAATAACTCAACTCACAATTCATGTTCAGGAAATGATATTCACCGTTCATTGTATGGTCGTGCATCTTTTCACATATGTCATTATTTGCCAACATTGGTCAACTATAAAACAGAAAGACGATTGTTATATTATCAATCGAGCCATTCAAGAAAAATATATAAATTAAATTATTTCCATAATCTTAAGAAATATGTGCAAAAAGCAGTCAGTTGTAGGATTCCGAGAGCTACACCTGAATAACATGCGACGTGTGCTCTGACATATACCGGATAGAAAGAGTGATTGTTGATGTAAACGTCACACTTCTTCAGGGATGTAAACTGTTTAGTATTACCAGAGAGCACATTTCATCAGTTAGTTGAACGAATAGAGCTAGGGCAGCGAGATAAGTGCACTCTTGTCTCCAGTGTGTGTAGAGGTGTAGATACTTGATTCGCCCTTCAAATGCTAATATATGATCAGATATCACGATGAAAGAGTTGAGAGACCGTAAATTTCTAGGTTTATGCTGACAGCCTGAAATGATACAAAAGAAAAGTATGTGCGTATTATACAAGACAGATATATTTTTTTTACAGAATTTAATTGCTCGTAATTAAGGGAGCATATAACACACGCGTGCGTATTATACACGAATAAGTAAGTCCTGTATACATTGATCAATCGGAAGGGTGGTAATTGGGATTGTTCACTAGCCAATATATTAGCAAATATCGCCGTGGGCGCTTATTAGAGCGGGGCGCTTAGTACGTCGAATACGGTGAGGGTTTTTGACGCAGTGGAATTTCAATCTGTGCCGGAAGTATTTGTATTCAGAAGGACTCTGTCGCGCAGATAAAATGAAAGACAACAAACAACCTGCTATAGAAACACATCCACAACTATCTAAATGCCGCGTATGAAACAAATATCAACTGGTTCAATAATTTTACAGAAAAAGTTGCTATTCCCAGGGAAACCACGACTCTTTCATTACGTCACAGTGATACACAGATATAGATGACTGTCCCTGTTACCACCAGTCACCGACTTGACAAGGCTGCATACTGAAACTGACCACAAGATTAATATGCAGTACAAATTGGGCTTGTGCAGCAATGGTTAACAGTAGGGCCCTCTGAAAGTCACATTGTCAAAAGGCCAAGAGAAATTGGAATGGCGTGATATGAGACTCTGTTCTAACTAGTTTGCTTGTTCTGTGTTATATGTACAGGCTGTCAAGTCGAGTTGAATAATGGCTGACATGGGGCATTTCTGGAAACTGATTGAGTGAGTGAGTACAGATTGACGCCACATTTAGCAATATTCCAGGAATATTACGGCGGGGGAACCTGAACCATTGTTTCACACATTGTACCCATGTTGGGAATCGAACCCGGGTTTTCTGCGTGACGAGCGAACCCTTTAACCACTAGGCTACCCTACCGCCTCGAAAACTGACGCATGGATCAAGACGTCATATATTGATATCTTAACCACGGTGTGTACAGTCGTGCGGTATCCAACATCACATGCTTGCACAGAAATATAGATAGAAAAAGACATAGCATCGCAACTGCTATAATCTATGTGGGACGTATTTCTATTTCACAAACAGACTGAATGTTGAAAGTAAACAATTCACTTCATGCTTGCACACGTTTCACCTTCACAACGCTTCCGTTGGATCATAGCACATTTTCTTAGAAAGAACTTCACACTAATCTTGAACATGCAGAAAGACAATTTCAGTGTTTACAATCCGCATTTCAACTTTGCACCTCCATCGAATTATTATAGTAAACGGAGGGTCAGTATACATTTTGGTTTATGTACGCTCTGAGCTTAGTGACCGTATTCGACTTAATAAGCGCCCAGGGCGCTCTCAAAATTAGAAATAGGGGGCTCTTATTGAAATATAATTTTGATAAAACAGTTGGGAGATCGTAAATTTCGTGGTTTTTTGCTGACAGCCTGAAATGATACAAAAGAAAAGTATGCGCGTATTATACACGCCAGATATATTATTCCAGAATTTAATTGTCCTTAATTAAGGGAGCATATAACACACGCGTGCGTATTATACATGAATAAGTAAGTCCTGTATACATTGAAGGGTGCTAATTGGGATTGTTCACTAGCCAATATATTAGCAAATATCGCCGTGGACGCTTATTAGAGCAGGGCGCTTAGTACGTCGAATACGGTGAGGGTTTTTGACGCAGTGGTATTTCAATCTGTGCCGGAAGTATTTGTATTCAGACGGACTTTGTCGCGCGGATGAAATGAGAGACAACAAACAACCTGCTACAGAAACACATCCACAACGACCTATATGCCGCGTATGAAACAAATATCAACTGGTTCAATAATTTTACAGAAAAAGTTGCTATTCCTGGGGAAAGCAGGACTCAACATGCAGAAAGACAATTTCAGTGTTTACAATCCGCATTTCAACTTTGCACCTCCATCGAATTATTATAGTAAACGGAGGGTCAGTATACATTTTGGTTTATGTACGCTCTGAGCTTAGTGACAGAGGTTAGAAAACTTTTTCAGTTGTATGACACTGTGGGAGGAAATCCCGATGTGCACTCGAAAACTATCACTATTCTAGACTGAATCTCACCACTCAACCAAAAGTAAAGTGAGTGAGTAATTATTGTTTAATACTATTCGCGGGTGAGCAGATGTTGATGTTTCGTGAGGAAGAAAATTGCACCCAGGCATTAATAGGACATGTGTGTTTGTTTTGGTTGTTTAACATCGAGTGCAGAATTATCCCAGTTCCGCGGCAGCGGTCTGAATATGAAATAAAAGGATTTTTAAGATATTCCTTCCGGATGGTGATCCGAGATTTATATATAACAGTTCGCTATTATAGGCATGTCTACGTTTTGGATTCTGTGCTAGCGCGACAAGTGACGTCATGCCATTTGCGATGCTGCTGAAAAAACTCCCTCAATGGTACCGACTCATTTTGTCATTGTGTGGACAACCCACTGCATATTATCAGTTATGACAGTAAGAAAATAACCTGTCCAAAACATAGTGTTTGTTTGTGTGTTTGTTTGTTTGTTTGTTTGTTTGTTTGTTGTTAAACACCTAACTCAGCAACTTTCCAGCTATATGACGGCGGTCTGTAAATAATAGCATGGACCCGACAATCCAGTGATTGGCATCATAAGCATCAATCTCCGCAAATGGTTATAGATTCGCGCATACATGCATGTGACGGAGATGGTTACATGGTGCAAGGACACTAACATGCCGCAGGGTAACCACAAGGAAACTATGCATTATCAAAACGAGTATCATGTGTGATTCTTATTCCCTGTATGGGGGAATCAAATAGCGCAGCTGAAAGGATTTAGACCACACAAATCAGTAAGATCAACCTTATCTTGATATCGTTGTCTTCTTTACGCACAGCGCATGACAAGTGTGTCTGATGGTTACTGTATGGACACGTACAGGGTCATGTACTGTGATCTATTTCCTTTCAGAAGAACCATGACTGTGTTGCTGATTCTGTGTCTTGCATCTCTGGTTCTGTTTGCTGAAGGTAAAACGACAAACCATTTATTCTTCTTTCTCGAGGTCATTGCTTTAAATGGTCACACCATACCATATGTCACACCATATTATCCGTTATGTTTGTGTAATTTCAAGGAACGAAATTAATAATATTGATAATTAAATTAAATCGAATAAGATTACATTAAAATATTTGTGCATGCATGTCAAATAAGAAGAAGTAAAGATAGTTTCCAATCATTTTTAGGCGAGCAGTGCAAGGACAACCAGCACTGTTCAGACTGTGACAGAAGTACAGGACGTTGCCTCACAGACTGTGACACTGGCTATTTTGATAGGAAATGCAGGTCCATGTGTAACAAGAACTGCAGAAACCGCTCACGCCAGTTGTCAAGCTCTGGCTCAGGTGCTTGCACTGAGGGTTGTGTCCCTGGATATCAAGGTCCTGGGTGCAGCATACGCTGTGGCAGTCCAGGAGGTACCTGTGTAGCATGTCCAGGTGGGTGTGATGGAGGATATTGTCAGCTGGGCTCCTCCTGTGTGTCTGGATGTGTAGACTCCTACTATGGGACTGACTGTAAGACTTGTTCAAGTAGATGTAAGTCCTGCAACAGGATGACAGGATTGTGCAAGGAGTGCCGCCCAGGATATTTTGGTCCGAACTGTGCATATTTCTGTGATCATTGCCTAGGATCGTGTGCACATGGATGCGCAGAGGGCTGTCTTCCTGGATTCTATGGCACTTTCTGCGACAAGAAGTGCAGTGAACAATGCGGACTGGACTCCAACATTTCTACTAGCAAGCCTCTACAGACATCCAAGGCTGGTTTACGTGACTGCCAAAGAGACAGTGGGGATTGTATCGACGGGTGTGAAGAGGGCTGGCATGGTCAACAGTGCTCTTCCCCATGCAGTCCTAACTGCATCAACAAACGATGCAAGTCTACAGGCGACTGTGTAGATGGTTGTGTACCTGGACACTTCGGCAGAGACTGTAAACCCTGCCCTGTCAACTGCCTTCACAACATGTGTCACTCGGACAGCGGGAAGTGTACAGACGGATGTACACGTGGCTTCTATGGTGGACTCTGCCAGTACACGTGTGAAGTATGTCTTGATGGTGTCTGTGATCAGAAGACTGGCACCTGCACAATAGGCTGCCACCTGACTGGACCGAAGTGTGATTCTACCTGTACTTTCAACTGTTCTGTAGCGGAATGCCTGAAAGTGGAACACTGCAATCAAGGTAACTATAATAGTACAATCCTACCTGGATTACCAGTGGCTTAAATCTGTAATCGGCTCAACTGAGTGTGTTATTATATTATATTCCTATTTACCTATTTTCTTTTATTTGACAGAGGACACCAGCGGTATACAGATAGCCACCTTATCGACATCGTTAATTCTATTGGTGGTAGGCAGCATGGTGTCAGTGGGGATCTGTTGCCGCAAGCGTGTGGCGATGCCAAGGTAAGGGTGATATGTGTAGATATCCAGGAGTAATAATCACAGTGGGCTGCCCTTTCAGTGCCTTCTCTCATACGGACAGTACCACGTGGTGTTAGTATATGCAGGTAGATCAGACCGGACAGTCGAAGTGTTACAGCTATATTAGGGTTAAAATCATGCAATGGACAACATGAAATGTGACAATATAGGTTCAGGGGCTCGATGAGCCAGGTCACTCGTTGTAAACTACACATGTAGTCGGCTCCAATGAGAAGAACATGTTTTGTCTATGCGATCTTATGTGACAAATATAGCACAGTTACTGTATATATTCATAGCGTTATCACTTCCTGGTAACAGTGTTGTTCCATCACAATATGGGCCTCGGTTTGTGAGTATCATCTTCGTATCCAAAATGACCAGGATCTGCGGCAACTCAGTCTGTCTTCCAATAGGAAGCTGATACTCTGTGAAATACTGTTCCAAAATGGCACTCAAGTGTATCACTTTAAGGATATCTAATTCTAAATGTATGTAATAACTGATGGGGATTCTTGTAGAATGTCGACTAGAAAGGCCCCCGAACTAGTCACTGAAGTCACTCAAAGCATTTCTTGTTTCTGCAGAGAAGGTCCACAGGAGAGAGAGCTGGATGACAAGCAGGTACCACAACCGGGAGACAATGAGGAGCCCGAGTCGGAAAAGATATACCATGAAATTGATGCAAAGGAGATGGGCCCTGAGATTGTGTTTCTATAGGAACCTACATTCTATGAAATAGATGTGAACGACATCAAATAGTGGTGTTGTGTTGGCTCAAACACTTTCACTTTCGATGTGGGACATCTGTAGTTGTTGGTTCAAGCTGTTTCTTTCTTGTGATATATCTACAGACCTTGGCGCCCTTAGTTGTGTCCCTTAGTTGTGTCAGGATTCGGTTATCGTTGGTTCAGATTCCAGCATCACTTCCGGGTATATTGGTTCACAAGGGGGTCAACGGTATGGTGGGTTTGTTTTTATGTTTGTTGTTAAACGCTACACTCAATATTCCAGCTGCATGACGGCGGTCTGGAAATAATCGAGTCTGGACCAGACAATCCAGTGATTGACATCATGTGCATCGATCAACGCAATTGGGATCGATGACGTGTATCAACCAAGTTAGCGATCCTGACCACCCGATCCCGTTAGTCGCCTCTTACGACAAGCATAGTTGCCTTTTACGGCAAGCATGGGCTGCTGAAGACCTATTCTACCCCGGATTTTCAGGGTTGGAACCAATGTGACTTTAAGCTTTCCTCATTTCCAACAATGAACCTTGTTCATAGCTGCATGCGATCCAGTTTACTCGCCCTATAACATATCTGGTGACACAGCACAGCTGCCAGTTTGTTATCACTCTCTGAAGAGATCAGATGCATCGATAGGGCAGGGTGCGCTCCTTTGATTGCGAACACCTGACATGAATACTATTTGATAGTAATTCACGTGGTGGCATGCACAACGCAAAGGTCACAAATCAGGTGAAGTTAAGCAACGTCGGTCGCGGAGAGTCCTTGGAAGGGTGACCGCGTTGCTCAATGTCACAAGTAATATAATGTAACACAGTCCATGTCAACTTGACCTGTCTTATCAGGTACTGGTTGTGACGGGTGATCGCTGTGGCCCTGTGTACACTGCTAATAAAGTCTTATTGACATAACACAGTCTTGTGCATGTTGTGCCGGCATTTCGTTTACCCAGCCAAGTATTGGGCATACACACTGTTTATTTTCTCTGATAAAACACTGAAAACAATCACAAGTTTCATGTTAGGTAAATATTTCTATTTCCGAGGTCATTTATCGAAACACGACATGTTTTAACCTAGATAGCTTGACGTAACCAGTGCCGTATTTCGTTGCATAGAAAGTACAAATCATTATCCATTCTTGGATATTCCCCGTGTGTCGGTGAATGTCATCGCTATATACGATATCGAAACTAATATAAATTCTAGGAAACATTGTTTTTATTTAATAGTCCGACTTAAATGCAATGTAACTATGATCAAGTACGTTCATGGTAGGTCGGGTTACATCAGGTCCCCAGTGATCTTTGCTGGAGGGTAGAGATAACTAGTGACTTGGTAGGTTGTCTATCATCACAGCCCGACTACGTGGGGAGTCAGATTACATCAGGTCCCCAGTGATCTATGCTGGTCGGTAGAGGTAACTACTGACTTGGTAGGTTGTCTATCATCATCTATCTATCATAGGGGGTGGTCGGGTAGCCTACTGGTTAAAGCGTTCGCTCGTCACGCTGAAGACCCGGGTTTGATTCCCGACATGGGTACAATGTGTGAACTCCATTTCTGATGTTATATTGCTGGAATATTGCTAAAGCGGCGTAAAACCATACTCACTCACTCACTCGTCTTATTATAGACGTGGCAGACCCACTAATAGCAGAGAGAGTGACTGAGTATGGTTTTACGCCGCTTTTAGCAATATCCCAGGAATATCACGGCTGGGGACACCAGAAACAACAGTCAAAACAATCCGCACATAAACATGACTTGCATTCATGAACAAATAGGCCATGGAGATATTTCTATCTGGCATGACTCATGCGTTGACAATGCTATCTTTAGAACTGCAGGTACAAACCAGTTGTAATGTAAAGGCGCATATCACGAGGCCGTCACACACTGCATGTGAAGTGTTGTATCACTAGCGACGCGGTGTCCGCCATTTTGGTTGATATGTACTGTTTTTAGAGGATATCTATTAGCGCCAAGGTAAGTGATAAAACATTCATTGTGACAAAAACATATAATGTGCAAGGAGTTACGGTGTGACTGCCCGAGATGAATTAACTGTCAATATCAACGAAGACGGTTGTGATATTTCTGAGTGGTTACAGTTTGTTTTCAACCACCCACAAAAATACATGTGACGTCATATACGTGCATTAGAGAATCAGTGTGTAGCGGAGAGAAGGGGTACGGATAGTGATGGGGTAGGAGAGAGAGAGAGAGGGTGAGAGAGAGAGAGAGAGAGAGAGAGAGACAGACAGACAGACAGAAAGATAGAGAATGAGAGAGAGAGAATCGTTACATCCCTTTGTTTTCGGAAAGGGTAAATATGACCGGATTCGGCATTCTAAAGCTAATCCATTTAACTGATAGGACTGGCCGCTTACATGCCTCCCTCGATATGCAGCGTTGTGAACATTTGAAGTAAGTCAATCCATGTAGAGACATGTGCTATCAGACCTGTGTTACCCGACCTGCGTTAACCGACGTGTGGTTACCGGCGATATATATTCGTTGTAGTTGAATCACTCGGGGTACATGGTTTTTATGCGTCCACCGTTGGGTTTACTACCACTCGTCTCCGGCTCGCTATGTTTTGTACTGCCGAGGTCGTTTTGACACGACTGTTGTGATTGCCCAATGGACCTTCTGTTATCGGTATTCATATTACCAGACTGTCTTTATACGTTGAACAATGCTGTGTATAGGTGTTAGACGAGGAGCAATGTTGTGTCTAGAAGGTTCCTGGACTGATATGCCTATTTATTACCAACTGCAAGGAGTTGTGTGTGGATATGGGGACTCATATTTGCCAAATTATGTAACTCGTGATTATATAACAAGATGGCAGTGGTCAGTATCAAATACAAAAAAATACAGTGATGGTGGTATCGACAGCAGTCACGCTTCCGAGACCGGCCTACGTAGGAATCAGGGATACAGTGGTGATAGAGCGGTGACAGCAGTCAAGCTTCCGAGACGGGCCTTGGTAGGGATTCAGGGGTACAGTGGTGGTAGTGGCGACAGCTGTCAAGCTTCCGGGCCTAGCTAGGGATAGGGGGAAAGTGGTGGTAGCATCGACAGCAGTCAAGCTTCCGAGGCGTGCCTAGCTAGGAATGAGGGGTACAGTGGTGGTAGTGGCGACAGCTGTCACGCTTCCGACAAGGGCCTAGCTAGGGATAGGGGGAGAGTGGTGGTAGCATCGACAGCAGTCAAGCTTCCGAGGCGTGCCTAGCTAGGAATGAGGGGTACAGTGGTGGTAGTATCGACAGCAGTCAAGCTTCCGGGCCTAGCTAGGGATAGGGGGAAAGTGGTGGTAGCATCGACAGCAGTCAAGCTTCCGAGGTGGGCTTAGATAGGAATCAGGGGTACAGTGGTGGTAGCATCGACAGCAGTCAAGCTTACGAGACTGGCCTAGGTAGGGAATCAGGGGTACATTGGTGGTAGCATCGACAGCAGTCAAGCGTCCGAGGCGGGCCTAGGTAGGGAATCAGGGGTACATTGGTGGTAGCATCGACAGCAGTCAAGCGTCCGAGGCGGGCCTAGGTAGGAATCAGGGGCACAGTGGTGGTAGCGGCGACAGCAGTCAAGCTTCCAAGGCGGGCCTAGGTAGGGAATCAGGGGTACAGTGGTGGTAGCATCGACAGCAGTCAAGCTTCCGAGACGAGCTTAGGTAGGAATCATGGGTGCAGTGGTTGTACCGGCGACAGCAGTCAAGCTTCCAAGACGGTCATAGGTTGGAATCAGGGGTACAGTGGTGGTAGTATCGACAGCAGTCAAGCTTCCAAGACGGTCATAGGTTGGAATCAGGGGTACAGTGGTGGTAGCGGCGACAGCAGTCAAGCTTCCGAGGCGGGCGCAGCTAGGAATCAGGGGTACAGTGGTGGTAGTATCGACAGCAGTCAATCTTCCGGGCCTAGCTAGGGATAGGGGGAAAGTGGTGGTACCGGCGACAGCAGTCAAGCTTCCTAGACGGACCTAGTTAGGGATTCAGGGGAAAGGGGTGGTAGCATCGACAGCAGTCAACCTTCCGGGGCGGGCCTAGCTAGGAATCAGGGGTACAGTGGTGGTAGCGGCGACAGCAGTCAAGCTTCCGAGACGGGCCTAGGTAGGGATAGGGGGAAGTGGTGGTAGCATCGACAGCAGTCGAGATACCGAGGCGTGCCTTGCTAGGAATCAAGGGTACAGTAGTGTTAGCGGCGACAGCAGTCAAGCTTCCGAGACTGGCCTAGGTAGGGAATTAGGGGCATAGTAGTGTCAGCATCGATAGCAGTCAAGCTTCCGGGCCAAGCTAGGGATAGGGGGAAAGTGGTGGTAGCATCGACAGCAGTCAATCTTCCGGGTCTAGCTAGGAATCAGGGGTACTGTGGTGGTAGTGGCGACAGCAGTTAAGCTTTCCAGACGGGCCTAGGTAGCGATTCAGGGTTACAGTGGTGGTAGTGGCGACAACTGTCAAGCTTCCCAGACGGGCCTAGGCAGGGAATCATGGGTACAGTGGTGGTAGCATCGACAGCAGTCAAGCTACTGCGGCGTGCCTAGGTAGGGAATCAGGGGTACAGTGGTGGTAGTATCGACAGCAGTCAAGCTACTGAGGCTGGCCTAGGTAGGGAATCAGGGCTAGAGTGGTGGTAGCGGAGACAGCAGTCAAGCTTCCGAGACGGGCCTAGCTAGGGAATCAAGGGTACCAGTGGTGGTAGCGGCGGCAACAGTCAAGCTTCCGAGAAGGGCCTAGCTAGGGAATCAGAGGGACTGTAGTGGTAGCATCGACAGAAGTCAAGATTCTGAGGCGGGCCTTGGTAGGAATCAGGCGTACATTGGTGGTCGCGGCGACAGCAGTCAAGCTTCCGAGACGGGCCTAGGTAGGGAATCAGAGGGACAGTGGTTGTAGCATCGACAGCAGTCAAGCGTCCGAGGCGGGCCTAGGTAGGGAATCAAGGGTACAGTGGTGGTAGCATCGACAGCAGTCAAGCTTCCGAGACTTGGCTAGCTAGGGATAAGTGAAAAGTGGTGGTAGCATCGACAGCAGTCAAGCTTCCGAGACGGGCTTAGGTAGGAATCAGGGGTAAAGTGGTGGTACAGGCGACAGCAGTCAAGCTTCCGAGACGGTCATAGGTAGGGAATCAGGGGTACAGTGGTGGTAGCGGCGACAGCAGTCAAACTTCCGAGACGGGCCTAGGTAGGGATAGGGGGAAGTGGTGGTAGCATCGACAGCAGTCAAGATACCGAGGCGTGCCTTGCTAGGAATCAGGGGTACAGTAGTGTTAGCGGCGACAGCAGTCAAGCTTCCGAGACGGGCCTAGGTAGGGTTAGGGGGAAGTGGTGGTAGCATCGACAGCAGTCAAGCTTCCGAGACGGACCTAGTTAGGGATTCAGGGGAAAATGGTGGTAGCATCGACAGCGGTCAAGCTTCCGAGACGGACCTAGTTAGGGATTCAGGGGAAAGTGGTGTTAGCATCGACAGCAGTCAACCTTCCAAGGCGTGCCTAGCTAGGAATCAGGGGTACAGTAGTGTTAGCGGCGACAGCAGTCAAGCTTACGAGACTGGCCTAGGTAGGGAATTAGGGGCATAGTAGTGGTAGCATCGATAGCAGTCAAGCTTCCGGGCCAAGCTAGGGACAGGGGGAAAGTGGTGGTAGCATCGACAGCAGTCAATCTTCCGGGTCTAGCTAGGAATCAGGGGTACTGTGGTGGTAGTGGCGACAGCAGTTAAGCTTTCCAGACGGGCCTAGCTAGGGAATCAAGGGTACCAGTGGTGGTAGCGGCGGCAACAGTCAAGCTTCCGAGAAGGGCCTAGCTAGGGAATCAGAGGGACTGTAGTGGTAGCATCGACAGAAGTCAAGATTCTGAGGCGGGCCTTGGTAGGAATCAGGCGTACATTGGTGGTCGCGGCGACAGCAGTCAAGCTTCCGAGACGGTCCTAGGTAGGAATCAGGGGTACAATGGTGGTACAGGCGACAGCAGTCAAGCTTCCGAGGCGGGCCTAGGTAGGGAATTTGGGGTACAGTGGTGGTAGTATCGATAGTAGTCAAGCTTCCGGGCCCTCCTATGGATAGTTGGAAAGTGGTGTTAGTATCGACAGCAGTCAAGCTTCCGGGCCTAGCTAAAGATCAAGGGTACTGTGATGGTAGCGGCGACAGCAGTCAAGCTTCCGAGACGGGCTAGGTAGGGATAGGGGGAAAGTGGTGGTAGCATCGACAGCAGTCAAACTGCCGAGACGGGGCTAGCTAGGGATAGGGGGAAAGTGGTGATATCGGCGACATCAGTCAAGCTTCCGAGACGGGCCTAGGTAGCAATCAGGGGTACAGTGGTGGTAGAATCGATAGCAGTCAAGCTTCCGGGCCCTGCTAGGGATAGGGGGAAAGTGGTGGTAGTGGCGACAGCAGTCACGCTTCCGAGACGGGCCTAGGTAGGGAAGCAGGGGTACAGTGGTGGTAGCATCGACAGCAGTCAAGCTTCCGAGGCGGACCTAGGTAGGGAATTAGGGGTACAGTGGTGGTAGCATCGACAGCAGTCAAGCTTCTGAAGCGGACCTAGGTAGGGAATCAGAGGGACAGTGGTGGTAGCATCGACAGCAGTCAAGCTTCCGAGGCGGACCTAGGTAGGAATCAGGGGTACAGTGGTTGTAGCATCGACAGCAGTCAAGCTTCCGAGACGGTCCTAGGTAGGAATCAGGGGTACAATGGTGGTAACGGCGACAGCAGTCAAGCTTCCGAGACGGGGCTATCTAGGGATAGGGGTAAAGAGGTGGTAGCATCGACAGCAGTCAACCTTCCGAGGCGGGCCTAGGTAGGGATTCAGGGGTACAGTGGTGGTAGCGGCGACAGCAGTCAAGGTTCCGGGCCTAGCTAGGGAATCAGGGGGAAAGTGGTGGTAGCATCGACAGCAGTCAAGCTTCCGAGACGGGCCTAAGTAGCAATCAGGGATACAGTGGTGGTAGCATCGACAGCAGTCAAGCTTCAGAAACGGGCCTAGGTAGGAATCAGGGGTACTGTGGTTGTAGCATCGACAACAGTCAAGCTACTGAGGCGGGCCTAGGTAGGAATCAGGGGTACAGTGGTGGTAGCATCGACAGCAGTCAAGCTTCAGAAACGGGCCTAGGTAGGAATCAGGGGTACTGTGGTTGAAGCATCGACAACAGTCAAGCTACTGAGGCGGGCCTAGGTAGGGATATCAAGGGTACAGTGGTGGTAGAGTCGACAGCAGTCAAGCTTCCGAGGCGGGCCTAGTTCGGGAATCAGGGGTAATAAGTGGACCTCACCCGAACGCTGGTCCCGATGTAATGTAATGAGTGTGAGATACATAAACATATTGATTGTCCATTAGATACAGTCTAGCTCGCTGTTGGAAATTTCTACACGGTCCCTCAACGGTCTAGGGACATTGCAGAATATTCCACACCAGTCCACCGTATACCGGGCGTTCACGCTACACAAGTCTAAATATAGTATCAAAACTGTTGACAGTAAACAGTACCACATTCCTGACAACTAATTACTGTCCAAACACAAGATAATGAGCGTCTACCGAATCTCAACAGAAACAATGTAACACTCTTACTCTTATTGTTTACAACAAAATACACAGCCATATGACACTATGCGTATGAGTGAGGTGAGAATGGTTTTATGCCGCTTTTAGCAATATGCCAGCAATATCACAGCGGCGGACACCAGAAATGGGCTTCACACATTATACCCATGTCGGGAATCGAACCCGGGTCCACTGGGCTACCCGACCACCCCTATGCGTATGAATCGACAAGTAATATTTGTATTAAACATCACTGCAGTCCTTGTGTCTGGTGTATTATTCTGCTGTCTGTTGGTCACAGAACTAGTTCCAAAAGAATGCCCTTTCTTATTTTAAATCATGCTCTTGTGAAAGTGTACCAGTACTTTGATGCTGTTAGTAACTACAAATATATGAACATCAGTTATCTTAAGATATGAATGGAAATGTTGTTTGTTGTATCAGCTTCTACTCAACAACAACTGTGGAGATTTTGTCAGATCTTGACGGAGAGCGGTATCGAATCGAAGTAAACAATCTGATTTGAAGATTTAGGTGTATCTCCAAGTACATGACGGGGATTACGATGTCAATGACCACTTAATAAAAAAAAATTCTTAAATTCAGGAAGTTCATGTGTCCATACAAGCAAACATACCTTTCAATTGTCACCTTTATACATACTATGGAAAGAGAGAGAGAGAGAGAGAGAGAAAGAGAGAGAGAACGAGAGACATAATGATTACATCCCTTTGTTTTCTGAAAGGGTAAACATTACCAGATTCTACCCGACCTACATTAACCGGCGTGTGTTAACTGACATTTGCTACCCGATCTGCGTTAACCGACGTGTGTTAACCTATATTTGCTACCCGACCTGCGTTAACCGACGTGTGTTAACTGACATTTGCTACCCGACCTGCGTTAACCTACGTGTGTTAACTTACATTTGCTACCCGACCTGCGTTAACCGACGTGTGTTGCCTGACATTTGCTACCCGACCTGCGTTAACCGCCGTGTGTTAACCGACATTTGCTACTTGACCTGCGTTAACCGACGTGTGTTAACTGACATTTGCTACCCGACCTGCGTTAACCGACGTGTGTTACCTGACATTTGCTACCCGACCTGCGTAAACCGACGCGTGTTACCTGACATTTGCTACCCGACCTGTGTTAACCGACGTGTGTTAACCGACATTTGCTACCCAAACCTGCGTTAACCGACGTGTGTTAACCGACATTTGCTACCCGACCTGCGTTAACCGACGTGTGTTAACCGACATTTGCTACCCGAGCTGCGTTAACCGACGCGTGTTACCTGACATTTGCTACCCAATCCTGCGTAAACCGACGCGTGTTACCTGACATTTGCTACCCGACCTGTGTTAACCGACGTGTGTTAACCGACATTTGCTACCCAAACCTGCGTTAACCGACGTGTTAACCTACATTTGCTACCCGACCTGCGTTAACCGACCTGCGTTAACCGACGTGTGTTAACTGACATTTGTTACCCGACCTGCGTTAACCGACGTATGGTAACCGACATTTGCTACCCGACCTGCGTTAACCGCCGTGTGTTAACCGACATTTGCTACCCGACCTGCGTTAACCGCCGTGTGTTAACCGACATTTGCTACCCGACCTGCGTTAACCGACGTGTGTTAACCGACATTTGCTACCCGACCTGCGTTAACCGGCGTGTGTTAACCGACATTTGCTACCCGACCTGCGTTAACCGACGTGTGTTGCCTGACATTTGCTACCCGACCTGCGTTAACCAACCTGTGTTATCGGACATTTGCTACCCGACCTGCGTTAACCGACGTGTGTATTCGGACATTTGCTACCCGACCAGCGTTTACCGACGTGTGTTAATCAACATTTGCTACCTGATCTGCGTTAACCGACGTGTGTTAACCTACATTTGCTACCCGACCTGCGTTAACCGACATGTGTTAACCGACATTTGCTACCCGACCTGCGTTAACCAACGTGTGGTAACCGACATTTGTTACCCGATCTGCGTTGACCGACGTGTGTTAACCTACATTTGCTACCTGATCTGCATTAACCGACCTGCGTTAACCGACGCGTGTTACCTGACATTTGCTACCCGACCTGCCTAAACCGACGCGTGTTACCTGACATTTGCTACCCGACCTGTGTTAACCGACGTGTGTTAACCGACATTTGCTACCCAAACCTGCGTTAACCGACGTGTGTTAACCGACATTTGCTACCCAAAGCTGCGTTACCCGACGTGTGTTAACCGACATTTGCTACCCGAGCTGCGTTAACCGACGCGTGTTACCTGACATTTGCTACCCAATCCTGCGTAAACTGACGCGTGTTACCTGACATTTGCTACCCGACCTGTGTTAACCGACGTGTGTTAACCGACATTTGCTACCCAAACCTGCGTTAACCGACGTGTGTTAACCGACATTTGCTACCTGAGCTGCGTTAACCGACGCATGTTACCTGACATTTGCTACCCGACCTGAGTTAACCAACGTGTGTTAACCGACACTTCCTACCCGACCTGCGTTAACCGACGTGTGTTACCAGGCATTTGCTACCCGACCTGCGTTAACCAACTTTTGTTTACCAACATTTTGCTACTCGACCTGCGTTAACTGACGTGTGTTAACCAACATTTGCTACATGACCTGCATTAACCAACGCCTGTTAACCGACTTTTGCTACCCGACCTGCGTTAACCGACCTGTGTTACCTGACATTTGCTACCCGACCTGCATTAACTGACGTATGTTAACCGACACTTCCTACCCGACCTGCGTAAACCGACGTGTGTTAACTGACATTTGCTACCCGACCTGCGTTAACTGACGTGTGTTAACCGACACTTCCTACCCGACCTGCGTTAACCGACGTTTTTTAACCGACACTTCCTACCCGACCTTCGTTTACCGACGTGTGTTAACTGACATTTGCTGCCCGACCTGCGTTAACCGACGTGTGCTTACCGCCATCAAGAGAAACTTAAATTGCTCTCATCAATCCACAAACACCACAGTCTAGGGTATAAGATTTTGGAAACATTTTCTATCAACAATGTCTTATATATTTTCAAAAGATGAATATTATGATGAATTTCAACAGGAATGTCAATTGTGGTTTCGGTGAACAGGACCCAGTTATATGCCTGGTATTGTTTTCTGCAGTATGTATTTACTTTAGCAAAATGCGTTCCTTGTGAATTAAAACGAATTAAATCCTAATTTCACAGATAAACAAACGATTGGAAAAAGAAAAGAGAGGCGCTTGCTTACAAGGTTTGTGTGTATGCTATGTTTCAACAGAATATGATATGAGCAAAGACTAAACAAAACAGGAAATATTTTAACACATGTTAACCACACACACTACTAGAGAGTCGAAACTTGCACATGTGGTTCATCTGATTCATTTGAAACATTTAGGGATTGACTATGAAACAGAATGTATCATGCTTCATTCTGATCAGTCCGGAAGTGGTTTTGAAACTACATGGAAGTTAAACTTTGGTGATCACCTCACAATGAAACAATTGTTTGTTTAATTTTTCTCAAACCCGGCAATTTCAAGCACTGATTTCACTTAATGAATCACCGACACGAAACTCCGAGTTATTCGTGATATATAGGGCCTTAAACTATTAATTTACTCCGGAATAAACATCCATAATTCCTCGTAGCTCTGTGGCAATTTTATAATTGTTGACCGCACTGTGTCACCATGCCAGGACCGTTGGTCAACCGTTTTGAAAATCTGCATATCACAGTGTTTGAATATTTGATATAAAACGCTAGTTATATTCTCTATATAACAGGTGTGGCTATCTGCATCTTACAAATCCCTTCTATTCTCACTGTAATCAAAGAATGGTTATGTTACAATTGCCGATGCAATATTTCAAGAGGGATGTATTATTATGTTGATAAAGATAACATGTTGTCCTGACTTTGAACCAAATCCATACAGGTGCTTATGTCTTAACAAATTGCTGGGTGTGTTATGGTTTGACAGATTCACATTAAATTGATGGGTATCAAATATAAAGATATCACTCATAGTAAAAGCAAAGCTTTATTAGGTAATGATGAAAATAAGCAACTCTGGTGTAACAATGTAACAAGTAAAAGTCCAGCAGTCCAGGTCAGTACAACTTGACATAAACATTGCTTTGATGTATTCTTAAGCTTATACATTAATAAACAAACGTTTTAACTCTGATACATACATGTATTTAAACAAATTACAGAAAATGGAATGAAACTCTCATCCGGTGTTTGATTACCAGCTTGATATCCCATGAACATCCCACTGCTAGGTAGCTAAGTTATTTAGCTAGTGTAATGTTGCTTTCCTGTTTAAAGTCAATAAGCATGTACATTCACTGATATATCATATATACATGTATTAACTGCTCAGAATATTAAAAAAAAGTGTACACTTGTTAAAAAAAAACAAACAAATAACTCTTTGTTGTGTAACGAAGTTGGCAAAAAGCGGTGAAAACCATTGTTGGTCAAGGGTAACCCTTCATGTCAACAGCTCACTCAAATTATTGTATTGACAAAACCTCATTAAGTACTAATATACGAGGTACACACGAGGTTACGTTAATATTGATATGAAACAACTCCAACCGGGACATAAACTTCCTTAATATCAACAATGAGGCAATGTATGGACAGCAAGCAACATTCACACAAAAGAGGCGGGCAGACAGTAGTCCTTCAAACACATTCTCTGCAGCACGTGACCTTCTCAGTTACACTGATCGATGTACAGAGTCACATGCTGAATGTTTGAGCAACTAGACCCTTCCTGCCAGTGGCCACCGGAAAATAAGTTTTGATATATATACACCTGAACGAGAAACATAAGAGATAAGTTAAACTGCCTCGTCGGTTTCATGTTCAGATATTTGTATAGAGATTCAGAGTTACAAAGCCTTCCACATGACTCAAGCATTTGGTGTCTGCATTTTCCAATTTTTGAGATACAAGCATGTTCCTTCATCACGGATTTCAAACAGCAGCATACGATTCTTGCTCAGAAGTCTCAATGAAGATTTCTAAAGGTTTTATGGTTGACATGTGGCGGTCATTTTTAAACTTTGAAGCATCAGTGATAAAATGATGTCCAATGCAATTACCTATTTTGATTGTACCATATGTTCCCGTGTTTGTTTAGGTGAACAATTGACTTGCCTTTGAATGAATGTGTTTGTGATGGATGCCATCGGTGGGGCAGGATACGCTCACTTTTTCGCGAATACCCGGTGTCATCACTATTTTATAATGATTCATAAACACATGCTTTTGATATAGTCGCAATCCTACAATGAACTTAACTTTTAGTAAAATTTATGTTGAATTTGGAAAAGGGTTTTGTTGATTTTATTTACATCGCATCACTCATCGATTGGAGATACATAGTCCTCTACTGTTTTGGACCGCTTGAGGTGGGAGTATGTGTTATCGTCAGCAGCTGACAGATTTGATGAAGCAACACCATTGACTGCGCTATCTGAGTCTGGCGCAAAGCATTCAGCCAGGACAGACATGGCTGGGGCAGTTGCTTGTACCGATTCTTTTTGGCTTATCCCTGGTAGATGACACATGATGTCCACATCTTCGTCAAGGATTTCACAGTAGTCAGGCAATACCTGGTCGTCATGACTTGGTGCTTCACTTGGAATGATACCCTGTACTTTGTGATCTCTGTGGAAGAGAATAAATGCATAAGTCCCTCTGTTTGCTGTTCAACATCATGCTGAGTAACATTTCAGATATGTGATGAGCCCTCTAAATGGTCTAGCCTGCACCAACAATTCTAAACGACATCCCACACCGGTGGGGTACGATGACTTGCATTCAGCCATGTCACTTAGAAAAGTCACCTGATAAGCATTTGTTGCTGGATAATCCCCATGGGAGAAGAGCATAAGTACGTACACGAGTGGTAAAGGTAACACGTTTAAAAAAGAAGAAGTTTAAAGTTGATCAGATGTTAGTTAAAACCATACACATATCTCTTGAGATTAATTAAAATATTCAATGATTATATGTTAGAAGTACTCACTTGCCAGTTCTTAAATGTTTGCAGTAGAACAGTAACAGGGCCAACAGGATGGCCACTACAAAAAGTGAAAAGGCTGTTGATAATCCGATCTTCAAGTCAACAATGCCGCTGTCACTATCACCTGAAATGTAGAAGTTATGATAATTATTTCAACTTATTAGAGTAAGAGAAGTAAGAGTTGTCACATGTTATTTATCAAACAACTGATGTCTTCAAAATACTCTGCATAGCATTGCAATGTGGTATCAATGGTGAGATATCTCCTGTGAATCCTGATTTGAATGATAAATCTAAGGTATTACCTTGGTTGCAGTATTCCATTCTCAGGCATTCCACAATAGAACAGTTGAATGTACAAGTAGAATCACACTTCGGTCCAGTCAGGTGGCAGCCTTTGGTGCAGGAACCAGTCTTCTGATCACAGACACCATCCATGCAAACTTCACACGTGTGCTGGCAGAGTCCACCATAGAAGCCACGTGTACATCCGTCTGTACACTTCCTGCTGTCCGAGTGACACGTGCTGTGAAGGCAGTTGACAGGGCAGTGTTTACATTCTCTACTGAAATGTCCAGGTACACAACCATCTACACAGTCACCTGTAGACTTGCATCGTCTGTTGACACAGTTAAGACTGCATGGAGAAGAGCACTGTTGACCATGCCAGCCCTCTTCACACCCGTGGATACAAGCCCCACTGTCTCTGTGGCAGTCACGTAAACCAGCCTTGGATGTCTGTAGAGGCTTGCTAGTAGAAATGTTGGAGTCAAGTCCGCATTGTTCACTGCACTTCTTGTCGCAGAAAGTGCCATAGAATCCAGGAAGACAGCCCTCTGCGCATCCATGTGCACACGATCCTAGGCAATGATCACAGAAATATGCACAGTTCGGACCAAAATATCCTGGGCGGCACTCCTTGCACAATCCTGTCATCCTGTTGCAGGACTTACATCTACTTGAACAAGTCTTACAGTCAGTCCCATAGTAGGAGTCTACACACCCAGACACACAGGAGGAGCCCAGCTGACAATATCCTCCATCACACCCACCTGGACATGCTACACAGGTACCTCCTGGACTGCCACAGCGTATGCTGCACCCAGGACCTTGATATCCAGGGACACAACCCTCAGTGCAAGCACCTGAGCCAGAGCTTGACAACTGGCATGAGCGGTTTCTGCAGTTCTTGTTACACATGGACCTACATTTCCTATCAAAATAGCCAGTGTCACAGTCTGTGAGACAACGTCCTGTACTTCTGTCACAGTCTGAGCAGTGCTGGTTGTCCTTGCACTTGTCACCTAAAAAGGAACTAAGAGTGTTATACTTGTGTATTGAGAGCAAACATATACTATATGTAACAACAAAAGTTCCTTTGACACTGAATAAGATTTAATGCAAAGATATGTTTTGTACCAAATATGAAATAATTTCGGTTTGCAACAGATAAAAGATTTCTGTAAGTGTTCAAATGGTTAAATTTGCCAATTTGTCCATATCTGCTGGAGCATGTTTCGAAATTTCTGGAGTGTCTGTGGAACACGTGGCTGTCGTGGAAGCCGCCGATATTTCTCATCCCACATGTGCTCAATTGGTGAGTGATCAGGGGAGCGAGCCGGCCATGGGTTGACATTAACGATGTTTGCTGATGAGAATCCTGACCAAGTCTAGTAATATGAGGCCGGGCTGTGTCATGGTGAAAGGTAATGCCTGGGCCATGACGACGCAAAAACGTAAGAACAACAGGGCGGATGATCTTGTCGCGGTAGCGCTGTCCATTGAGATTTCCCTCTACCACTATCAAACAGGTCCTCTGTCTTGCTGTAATCCCAACCCATACCATAATGCAGCCGCCCCCGAATCGATCTTCTTCCATGACACTATGGTTGGCGTAACGTTCACATCGACGTCGGTACACTCGAATCCGTCCATCGCTGTGACTGAGGTGAAAACGAGACACGTCAGTGACTAGAGCTTGTCCCCACTGCATGGCCGTCAAGCGTAGACGCTGTCTGCACCACTGTAGACGTTCTTGACGGTGGTTTACTGTCAAAATGGGACGTCTGGCGGGACGTCTGACACATCTGAGGCGACGACGTACGGTTTATGAAGATATTCGTCGAAGGCCAGAGATGCTTCTTGCAGTTACTGTTGCTGGCTGGAATTGATTTCGCAAGTGTGTTATTCGAATCCAGTTATCTTGTCGATTACCTTTTGTGCATGGCCTACCACTCCGAGGATGGTCTCTGACTGCATTCGTCTGTTGCCAACGTTGCCATAAACACCAAATGGTGTTTCTGTGGACGTCAAATTGTCTTGCAACATCACGTTGACTCGATCCTGCTTCATGCATACCAATGGCTCACAGACGCTCATTTTCGGACAGGCGTGGCTTTCGTAATGTTGAATATTTGCGTAATTGTGTTGTTTTTCTGAGTGGTTGTTTTCAGCACGATGCTAAACAATGCATATGGAATCCGTTAACGCACATGTTTTTATACCCATTCATGGGTAGTGAAATGCATGGGGCTTGCATAAAAACTTTTGCATGAAATGAATGCTTTTCTGTAGCAGTTGCGTTTTTATGACTTGATTCCATACATGTACTACAATATTGAAAACACAGGAACTTTTGTTGTTGAGTATATGTTGTATATCTCCACAGCTCCACTGTTGTGAGGCGACGGTGGCCTGTAAACAAGCCTGACTGTCAAGTGATCAGTAGACCAGAACATCCAGTGACACGATAGCGAATTACTTATTTTGTTCAATATCTTAATTTGGAATCTCTTTGTGCAAGTGCAAGAAAAACGTTTAAGAAATATGTTCCATTTTTAGGAGCGGTTTTATAATGTCTTTTCAAATAGTGTAGTTGACTCAACATTATAGAAAAATGCTGAGCTGAAGAAGAAACTCGGGGACTTCAGTCCTCCAGCGGAAACATGACCGACTTGAAATGAATATCAAACTATACGTTATTTGTAAACGTTGAACGTCAACGCCAGGAAATGCCTTCGTCTCGGATATATGTCAAAACAAATTTCATTGCGCGTAAAAGGCAAAATAGTGGTGAATATTATATGAATGGATCACTGAAACTTGATGACACCAGGTGTTCGAGAAATGGGTATGCATGTCCTTCCCGGATTGTGAATCTGTTTGATATGAGTGTAATCTCATTTCCCCCCTATGAGACGATATAGGAGAAAATAATAATTAGAAAAAATCTCACCTTCAGAAAACGTTATCAGATATGCCATACACATGACCTTCAACAGTGTCATGATGTGTTCTGAAAGCTCAACGCCAACTGGAATACATACAGTTGTGTGTTGTTACTGTAAGCTGTGCCACACTGTCCAGTGTAAAGCTGTGTTTGTGTGTTTGAAGTTTGTTTGTCCTTATAAGCAGTCGCACTTGCTTGCAAATTAGTTTAAGGCAATGGTTTTCGTTTTCCTCCTGAGCCGGACAAAAAGAAATCATGGTAGGATGGTTGAGATCATCTGTCTCACTTATATCTTCCTCTATCAATACACATCTGGGCGGTCGGGTTAAAGGGGGAAGACCCGGGTTCGATTCCCAACATGGGTGCAATGTGTGAAGCACATTTCTGATGTCCCCCATCGTGGTATTTCTGGAATATTGCTAAAAGCGTCGAAAAACAATACTCACTTACTCACTCAATACACATCTTGTGCTTTGACCATAAGAATATTTCCAAAACAGCAATTGATTTATTTCACTCACATTCTGTGAAACCTCAGATGCTTTTGCTGACGGTGATGTGGAACATTGGGCGTATCGCTGGACGTCAGGGCCTGGAGTGGTGCTCCTTAAACCGGTTCCGTGCGGTTCTGCCACGAATTGGTTTCAACCCAGTAATTACCAAGCCGTTGATGTGGCAGTTTGGTATCGATTCCGTAGATGCACCCACCGAATATGGTTGTCTTCTTTACGTGATGTCACACGTGGACGACTGGTCCGTGGCCAGTCATCTGTGTCGCCCTGCTGTAAATAACGTCGCTTTAGAGTTGATATTGTGTTTCGATGAACATTGTGCTGCCTGTCATTCCTGTAGACGTTGTGTAAGCATGCCATGTAAGGTTAATCGCAAGTGTTTTTAATAAGCACATGATAACTAAACAATCATTGTACGCTAATCCACCTGTGTGAGTATCATGCCCCCAAGAAACAGCAAACTTCCAAAACTGTGCCGCGTCCACTAACACTCCCGTGAATCACGACCTTACAGTCCAGGGGGCGTCTTCATGAATATGTATTGAAAATGCATAAGACTGAATGTCGAGCAATAGTGAAGCAGCTCCAGCCTTTGGTGTTTACATTTCACAACTTTTGAGATATAATCTTGCATGGTTTTTTATACGACTCTTGCTCAAGGAAACAACATTCAATGCCTTAGTAAAGCTTTCAAAATGTTTTATGGTAGAGATTTGCACGTGGAGGACATTTCCAAGTTTGACGCATCAGTGAAAAAAATTATGCCCGATGCAACTCCCTATTTTCACTTGTACCATATGTTCCCGTCTTCAGAAACTTGCCTTTGTGTGTGTTTGTCACAGATGCCACCGGTTGGGCAGGATACGCTCACAATTTGGTATCATCCCTACTTGATAGTGATTCATAAACACGTGCTCATGATCAAGTTGGACTGGCACATTCGACTCTGATTTTAGTAGAACTTTCGTTTGGATATAGAAAGGGTTTTTCGCTTTATGCATACTCATCAAAAAAAGAAATGCAAAGCCAGATTTGTGTGAGGTAGGAAACTACATGTAGACGAGGAACCGTACAAGTTATTGAGCCAAAATGTTGTGGAGAGAGCACTTGGTGATTGTAGTTAGCTAAGTTAAGGTAACAGTAACCGTGTTGACGACACCAATGCAGTCGTTGTTGAAGACGTTGTCGACTCAATATGATGCGTCGAACAGGACGTCCGTTATTCCGAATCGTTCGTGTTTCCCGACTAACGGTTTGCAAATCCTTGTTGTGATCATTTTTTTCCGGGAAATTTGTCACTGACGCTATAACACATTAAACATCTTCATTTTGCACCTCTTGGTCCTTGTATGGCCAAAGATGTGTTGCGTTTCCTTTTTGAAGAGTATATCTAATTTCACATTAAAATTACTAAACTTTACATGAAACACAGTTTCATATTCACTATGTCATATTTATATGTTGTTTGTTTAATCCACATAATATACAACAAAATCAAGACAGACGAAAGCACAGAACGGACACAAAACAGAAATCACATATGTGCTATCTGAAGTCTAATATTTTGATCTAACAAAATACTACTGCGATCAATGCCCTGTCGTCGAGTTGAGTATGAATTAAATTCCAGATATGATCCTTAGTTTCTCATCACAACACAATCTAGATTTTCACCCTACATAAAGCAGTGCTATAACTGAAACACTATTCTATGGAGTTAAAAACACTCAGACATAAAAGGAGTCATTAATTTCATGGATAATAGATAACCCTGCTCATTGTTTTCAACAAAATGGTAAATGTCCGAGAAATCCAGCTATAAGTGAAATAATCTTCCCTGTGAAACAATCACTACGAAATCGCTCATTATTTTAGTATTTAATACATCTACTACAGGAATATATATTACTTCATTGGTATTTCCAAATAGAGAAGGGGTGGTGGTTAAAGCGTTTGCTTGCCACAACGAAGACCCGGGCTCTATCCCCCACATGGGCACAGTACAATGTGGGAAGCCCTTTTCTGGTGTCTCCCCGCCGTGATATTGTTGGAAATTGCTACCAGCGGCGTAAAACCCAAACTCACTCACTCACTCACCCTTATAGATAAGAAGGCAATTCTGTGAGTTACTGTAAGGACATTGTCCCAATGTGATACTCTACACATGTTGTTGATATTAAAGCTATTTTTATAATTTTGATTACACAGAGCAGATTGATCGACCATGTTGGTCCGTTGCGGAAGATTTCCCAGAGAGATAACCTTTGACACTCATGTGTCACCTTTCATATCTGCAATGTATTTGTATGTTTTCCAAATAATGTTGTGACATTGGGTCAACTCGCCCTTCTCACCAGTGCGAAACGACATTTTCTGTTTTGTTTTCATTTTCCTTAGAAGAAAGAATACAATTTATTTCGATACTGAAACCAAACGTCCTTGACAAGTACACCACGTTTTTTTAGCAAGAACAGTATCTGTAAGAATAAAAAGCCTGTTTTTTCGGTTTACTAATTATGTTCACACTAGAATGACATGTATGCATGAAGTTAGTCGAACTGTGCCTTAATTATTAGAAACTATGAGTGTTCTGTATTTCTTATTATCATTTGTCCGTATTATATGACAGGGACAGATACGAAAAAATCTATTCATTCAGGCACGGAACTTTCTATGTTAAAAAATTAAAGCTGCTCTGTATTGATGGCATTGAACAAAAAACTAAGAAACTTAATTGTACTGCATTAAGCACGTGTTTCTAAGAATGGAAAAGATGTACTTTTATCTTCATTACATTGACATTGGTAGCATAATAACCTTAAGTAGCTTGACTAAAATGCATTCATAAAATTTCCATCACGATATTACCTTTTACACACGATTTGATCTGTTTCGGCAGATAATCAAGGCTAATTATTCTCCTGTGGTGACTCCTTCCACATTAAGCTGACACGCCGTGATATATCTGGAATGCTGTCAAAAGCGTTAAACCAAACGAAATGGTATCAAATGAAAGTTTGCATGGTGAACGTTTTTGAAGTTTAGGGTTCTCTAGAAATAAGGGTAGGGATGTTGCTTCACATTGACTTTTGATGTCTTGAAAATGTATGATGAGATTCCAAATGTGTGTGACAATAAGCATTCCTTCCATTGCAGGCAACCTGGGTGATGGTTGAACAATGCTGAGACTCTGTGCACTGCTGGTGACAACCTGTGAGTACCTTATGTCAACAAATAACTCTAAATCAAAACATCTGATCTTATAATTCATAAGCCCTTTTACCAGTAAAATACACTGCATTGAGACATAAATTGAAAAAGAATTTATCTAAAGTATGTACCACTTGCCGTTATACAGGTATCCACATTTGACTTTAAAGGCGTTTTCTTGATCTGTAAACGATTCATATGAATTTCAATTTTGATTGAAACAACCGATTTGATGCCGTGTCAGTGTATTATGTACATGTTTTCATTCACGAAGATGGCATGATAAGATAACCCTTTTATTTATTTTATCAGTCATGGCTGTCCAAGGCAACATAGATTGTGAGAGGGGGAAGTATGGCGAGCACTGCAACCTAACTTGTCCACAGAACTGTGCACTTGTTCAACCAAGTAATCTTCAGTTCTGTACTAGACACACAGGGAAGTGTTCTGAGGGATGCCAGCGTGGTTGGCATGGATATCTGTGTAATCAAAACTGCAGCGTCAACTGTCTAAACACGACATGTAACCAGCAAACTGGGCACTGTACACACGGCTGCAATGGTCAAAATAGGGGAGATTTTTGCAACATTACTGGAGGTAAGATGGTTTTAACGAATTGGCCATATATGGCAATTACCACTTTCCGCATTATCATTATGATAATGGAAACTTGAAATGTGACCAAGGCTCTCCTCTCTAAACATAAACCCCGCTCATGTTCATGTTTTTGTTATTCTGTTCATAGTCGGAACCGGGTCGTTTTGAAGAAGGCATCACTTTCGAAATTCGACTTTGCATTTACAAGTTTGACATGTACACCATTGTGTCATATCATCTAACTGTAGAATCAGAATGTGTTTTCTTAATATACAAATAGAAGCGAAAATGAAAATGTTCATAATACTATTGGAAGTCCATGTACATTTGCGATTTTGCGGTAAGTCCGTGTTCATGAATCACTATCAATGCTGATACCAGGTATTCGCAAACGGTCGAGCATATCCTGCCCAACAGCCGGCCATCCCTTAAAACCATGTTTGGACTTCTGACCTGAGCTAAACAGGATGGGTAAAATGAGTTTAACAGACTGATATTTCAAGCGACAATATCTCTTTATGTGCAAGTCCGCTACAAAAGATAAACTGTATATCTAATGAGTGTATCTATATCTCCTTAGGAAATCAGGTTGAGTAATGCATCTGTAATCACAACCAATGTCATGACATAGTAAAAATCGACTGACTCGTATGACATCACAAAAAGGTCTTCGCCAGCATGACATGAGTGGCTCGTTTCCAAGGCTCCTCTCGCCTTTTCTGAAACGTGTTTGAAGATAGATTTTGCATTGATTTCAAATATTTAAATGGACGTCTGGGTATGCACATGCCTTCATGAACCTGATTTTAGAGCCTGTTTCTTATAATCGTCTCGGAGAAAGCAGGACACTTTATTGCCAGCTTGCACCTTAAGTGGACAGTGTATGGTCGAATCACCTGATTTTAGAGCCTGTTTCTTATAATCGTCTCGGAGAAAGCAGGACACTTTATTGCCAGCTTGCACCTTAAGTGGACAGTGTATGGTCGAATCACCAGCCAGCCTTACACCAACAACGTCTTTTGTCAAGAATGAATATCAATAAAGTTCAGTGTGTTATAAACGTGTATTTCAAAACGTATTTTGCTTTCGCTTGGTAGATACGTTAAACACGGTAAACTCCATGTGCCTGTGTTTCCAATTTGCAAATTCATGTTATTAGGAAGAAGATATATTAAAAATGTGTTCGATTGCGTTTTGTCAATTGGTATGATGTTTGCAATGGCCGTCCCTTGTAACCTTGCCGTCGCCAACATTTTGACTAAGAAAACGAACAACTTGATTGAAAACATGTCACATGTGACATACATATGTGTAAGTTCGTTTATATATCTTAACCTGGCTCCATTTTGTAAAGGAATGGACTGGCTCAAATATCAGCTTATCAAATACACATGAGTATTGACTGTCAAGATGTACTGTTCAGAAAATGAAAAATAACAGTCGGACAAAACTTGTTTCTATATTAACATTAAATATGATACAGGAAATATAACTGTAATGGTAACGCAATATAAATTATCAATACATGTTTGGTTCACTGCCTGTATAGTTCATCAAAGGGAAATGTAAACACGATCAGAAGGCATGATCACATGACTTGCAGTGATCCACATTCTGACGTGAACACCTAAACAGTATAAATCCTATGTTTGACATTGATCCACATTCTACCGTGAACACCTAAACAGTATAAATCCTCTGTTTGACATTGATCCACATTCTGACGTGAACACCTAAACAGTATAAATCCTATGTTTGACATTGATCCACATTCTGACGTGAACACCTCAACGGTATAAATCCTCTGTTTGACATTCATCCACATTCTACCGTGAACACCTAAACAGTATAAATCCTATGTTTGACATTGATCCACATTCTGACGTGAACACCTAAACAGTAATTATCCTATGTTTGACATTGATCCACATTCTGACGTGAACACCTAAGCAGTATAAATCACATGTTTGACATTGATCCACATTCTACCGTGAACACCTAAACAGTATAAATCCTATGTTTGACATTGATCCACATTCTGACGTGAACACCTAAACAGTATAAATCCTATGTTTGACATTGATCCACATTCTGACGTGAACACCTAAACAGTATAAATCCTCTGTTTGACATTGATCCACATTCTGATGTGAACACCTAAACAGTATAAATCCTATCTTTGACATTGATTCACATTCTGACGTGAACACCTCAACAGTATAAATCCTCTGTTTGACATTGATCCACATTCTGACGTGAACACCTAAACAGTATAAATCCTATGTTTGACATTGATCCACATTCTGACGTGAACACCTAAACAGTAATTATCCTATGTTTGACATTGATCCACATTCTGACGTGAACACCTAAGCAGTATAAATCACATGTTTGACATTGATCCACATTCTACCGTGAACACCTAAACAGTATAAATCCTATGTTTGACATTGATCCACATTCTGACGTGAACACCTAAACAGTATAAATCCTATGTTTGACATTGATCCACATTCTGACGTGAACACCTAAACAGTATAAATCCTATGTTTGACATTGATCCACATTCTGACGTGAACACCTAAACAGTATCAATCACATGTTTGACATTGATCCACATTCTTCCGTGAACACCTAAACAGTATAAATCCTATGTTTGACATTGATCCACATTCTGACGTGAACACCTAAACAGTATAAATCCTATGTTTGACATTGATCCACATTCTGACGTGAACACCTAAACAGTATAAATCCTATGTTTGACATTGATCCACATTCTGACGTGAACACCTCAACAGTATAAATCACATGTTTGACATTGATCCACATTCTGACGTGAACACCTAAACAGTATAAATCCTATGTTTGACATTGATCCACATTCTGACGTGAACACCTAAACAGTATAAATCACATGTTTGACATTGTTCCACATTATGACATGAACATCTAAACAGTATAAATCACATGTTTTACAAATAATTTAAACACATCCAAATAACTATCGAAAATGTCCAATATAGATACTGGCAGTACAAAACTCTTTTGTTGCAACAAGATCGAAACTTCAAAATAACTATTTACCATAATGACAAATTGCTGTTGCCAAAACCGCAAGTCTAATAAATACAACTGATTTATATTGGGCCTGCTCTGTGGTGTGATTGTGATGTGACCACACATTTCACATCGACCTTAGGACAACTGATTTTATTCCAATTGGATTCATTTGTAGCATTTGAAAAGGTACCTTTTGAGTCCAGATTTAAACACTAGTCGCGTTGTTGTGGCTGAATTCCCTAGTGAAACACATGTACGAGAGAGGGATCGATAATCGAATGACTTGAGTTTATATTTTGTGAATTTGGTCATTTGATTAGCGATTTTATTAGCATGTTTGCATTGGAGATATAGGCTTGGCTAATGCTATGAAGGAACTGACGGACAAGACAGAGGATTTTGAAACCAATCCTCTCGAGTATTCACAGCCAATGTAATGGCTTTAAGATGGGGAAGATAAGTTACCGACGCTTTGTCCTTGTTACTTTTTGTGTACCTTCTGCAGTTTGGTCAGCTGAACTCCTGATATTCCCACAAGTGGGCTTGTGCAATAGTCCAGGCGAGACAATATGAGCCTGGTGTCTGAATACAGGTCTTGTGCTGGTTGGACTGCAGCTAAAGGGAGGCAACTCGACATGTCCCCTAACTGCTTTCTCTTGCGCGTGAACAGATTTTTAAAATCCGAGCTCGTAGTCAAATACCGTATAGTAAAAACAAATGCTGTGGCAATGTACTCCATATGAAGGGAGCAGTTAAATATGTAGTCCATGATGACCACAGACACAATTTGCTGTCTGCATTGATATTCAAATAGTTCTTGGAAATGTAAAATACTGAGGACTTTTAAACAAGAACCACACTCTACATATTTTGACAAGACTGGCTGCTCTTAAGGTTGTGCCTCTTTCTTCGGGCAACTTCAGATGGTAAGGGCTAACATGTTGTGAGAATGTAAGGGCATGATCGAATCATGATAAAACAAATAAGAAAATAGAATCTATTATGTACTTAACAACATAATTGACATAAACATAAGTTTTGAACAAATCATGGTTTATTTTCCCTGCAGTGTCTTATTATAAGAAAAACAACTCCCACTCGTCGTTTATTTCTTCAAAAACATCCATATTATTTTGTCATAATTTTCCTTCAGAATAAGTGAAAGGAAAGTATTTTAACTTCTAATGTGTCCTGTTCAGTTGATATAGTCCCATTTTGTGAGGATAATTATTTCATTAACACGGACAACTGTTCTGAACATCTGGTATTCCAAACATTTAACGTATTCATAACTTCCATACTGAAAGGCGTGTGTTATGTTCTCTGCTAGTCTATTTTATTGTTTAACAATGATAGTATCTGTGTTACGTTGTTTCTGTGGGGATTCTGTAGTGCTCATTGCACTGGGGTTGGACAGTGATTATTGTCAGGAGTGTCGTACTATTTAATGTAAGCAGACGTCAGGAAGTTACTATATTTATATGCTAGTGTGGTGTGTAGCCTTCTGGTCCGGTATATCGTAGACGTTTATAGTGTGTAATTGGAAACACGTGGAATATTCTTTGCTATGAGGGCACTCTGTAAACATTTCTAGTTGCTAGGTAGGTTGTAAGAAGACACGAGCGTATTTACGCATCTCTCACGCATTTCATTAATCGGAATCAGGTTTCATGTGAGGATCACTCATCATCTCGAAAACTTGACCACTGTCACCCAAGGGTGAATATTTAAGAATTGACCTTCACTTTGTGTGAGTTCATTGGAGTATGAACCTTCATAGAGTAAACTGTATGAACGTCGGAGCTTGCGAAGGTTCATACTCCAATGAACTCACACAAAGTGAAAGTCAATTCTTATAATATTTTCATCACAATTTCTTACCTCAAACGATGTAGGCCAAGATCTAAACACAATTTCATTTACATACGTGTGACTTCATGTTTATACTGACAGCCATACAACAACCAGCTATAGTTCCTCAAAAAGAGAGGTGACATGGGCGTATTGATGCACAACTTGCTCTTCAGAAACATCTTAAGCAGCACATGTGTTCAAATCATATCCTCATTAGATGAGAAAGGTCTGTAAAGAACTACCTCAGTATGTCAGTCACAATGACAGCGCGTCGTAATACATTTACATCAAGTACAAGACGTCAAAATGGCCGACACGATAAACGTGACGGGAGATATTTCCGAAGTTGTTAATGAACGTGTGGCGGTTACATGTGTACGTCATCATTGATCAACTGGCCAATCATTAAAAGGTGAATAAAGATGCGTCAAACAGACACTAGTTTTCAATAAGCGTCATTCTACTTTTGTTCATTTCATTAAGATATGAAACTAAACGCATGAGGGGTAGAGCTTTCAAAACGTATTAGGGAAGCAATGTAGAGGATATTTCAAATTTGCCGCATCAGACACATGAATGATGTCCAATGCATTTTGCTATTTTGACTTTATGATATATGTTTATTTAAGGTGAATAATTGACTTGCCTTTTTATGAGTTTGTGAGGGACGCCATTTATGGGACAGGATACGCTCACGATTTCGTGAACACCTGGTATCATCACTATTACATTGCTCGTTGTTTTGTCTTACAAACGTACAACCGACTCTCCTTTCAGCAGTTATTTCTTATGGTTATGGAAAAGATTTTGTCATTATTATTTATATACCTGTATATCGGCTTTTGTATCCATTCGTTGATTTTTGGTCCAGGCTGTGGTCGTGGCTGGTATGGCGATCTGTGTCAACACCCCTGCAGCATCAACTGTGTGGAGGAAAGATGCCACCACACAACTGGAGTCTGTATACTTAGCTGCAATGAGACTAATCCTGGAGACTTTTGCAACATTACGAAAGGTACGAAGGTGTATGTGGTTAGTGTATACCAACGGAAAAAACCTGTAACTGTGCTTCAAAAACAGTTCAGTAAAAATAAATAAATAAATAATGCATCTTTCAATACATCTCCTCTACTCTGAGGTCGTGGTTTGCATGATAATGTGCGGTGAACAATTTGGAAGTTTGGGTATTTGTTGGGAGTATGATGCTCACACATATTGTTCTTAAATGTGAACAGCACACAATGATTGTTAAGCCAATAAAATGCGTAGTGCCATGGCTTACTAAAAAATCAACGTCCACGCGACGTCGATGTGCTGGAAACAGGAATGAAGCAAATCGAAGTTACCAGACATTGTAATGTTCATTGAAATATATGATCAGGGCCACACTTGCAATGGGTCGTCCCTGTGTGACGTCTCGTCAACAACCATATTGGGTTGGTGCATCTGTGTCATCGATATGAAACAGTCGAAACATCCGACCCCGACGTACAGAAATATGCCTAAGTTTGCTTCCATGTCACCGTGAGACTGCCTAGATTAGTGTAGACCGCCATCATTGTGTATGCTTCCGGGACGACTTCGGTGGAGATCATGCTCTACCCTTTGTACAAATGTGACATAAGGTCCCGTTGCAGCAACATAAAGCCTGCCCACGTGTTGCACTAAGTGCTACAGACTGTTTGAGGAAGTATAAAATTGTTGCAATGCCGTGCCCGTCTGTTCCTTTAGACCTCTCCTCTATAAAACATCTGGGATCAGATGAAACGAAGCCTACAATTACATTACAATAACCAGCCTGTATCGCTTGCTCAATTGGACCAAACTTCCCCAGGCTTTTTTTCAAGCAGCTATTGTCTTCATTGTGGCCATACCCATGGACATTACAAATATAATTGTTATTGTAGGGCGTGACGCTGTCTTCTGCTTACAGCTAACGGTTTGTCAATTGATTTGATATGATAAAATAATGTAGAAATGTTGATCATTTTGGTTCATGTATATTGAAATAATGACGAATAAAGTCATTGTACATTAAAAGTAGATAGGTGTGGTTAATATCTATAATTGACATGTTTTATATAGTTTTGATTCTTCAATGTGAAATAAAGTGATGAAATGACAGGACCTAGCTGACGATACAAATTTTATCATGGCAATTAGGTTTATCCAAATTATGGCAAATACTCCTGAATGTTTTCAAAGGTGAGACGTAACCGTGTATTAACAATTATGATTTGTCTATTTGTAGGATCACAAATGGATATACACAACAATGAAAAAGCAAAGAGACTGGCTGTCATACTGGTTCCTGTGTTCCTGATTGCCATTATCGCAGTCTTCGTCACAGTCATTGTGCTCCTAATGTACGTCGACATGCTCCATTTTTAAACTTTACTAAGGCCGTGTATGATATAACGCTTTTCGGCAAGGGTCATACGATGCTCTTTGAAATGTTTGTTGAAAGAGCATGCTAAATTGTGCCTCAAAAGTCGTGAAATGTAGGGACCAACTAAAACATGGGTTTATGGGCTAAAATATCCGCGATCTGCTGCTCATCTGTTTGGAATATTGATCAACATATACTACAGTAGACTACGTTTATAACGAATTGACGGATTTAACGAACCATGTCTTAGTCCTGTCCATTTGCTGTATATATTCCTTACCTATGGTTATAACGAACTACAGTTATAACGAAATAAAATAGTGGTCCCTTTGGGTCCATTATAACCGTAGTTTACTGTAACTCAAACTTCAATAACGAATTCGTTTTGTGTGTCTTTTTGCAGATGGCGAAGACGGAATAAAAGGTAACACAACATTCAGCAGCCACACTGTCAACCATGTGCACATGCTCGTGGTATGCAGACCAAACATATATAAACGTATCTGATAACTTGCATACATATATCTAAAAGTTTTGCTCATCTCATAAAAATATAACGACTGTGTAGGCTGAAGTTACAAAACGTAGAAGGCAATGGTGTCATTATACCTATTTCATGTTAAAGACTAGCATCTGAACCGATCTGTACCTGTTGCGTTAAACCCTGTATTAAATGGCGTGTACAAACCGATGTTGTTGTACCACTTCGTTGCCCGAAAAACAATGAAATTATATGTTTTCTGTAAGTTCTTCTTATCCGTGACATTTATTTTGTTTGAATTGTTTCTAAGATAAATGGTACAATGGTAATCTTTGTATTGTTTTATCATTACAGTTATTTTAATCCTGTCGGGTTTACCCTACCAAATAAAAGAGAAACACTTGCTTTGAAGATTAGTTGTTATATCTTTAGTAGGATTAGTAACTGTTGTAAAAACATGGTTTAACGTGGGTATAATCAAATTTCGCTTGTCTATTTTTGCATAACATTTAGGCGAAAACTTTAGCACACAGGAGAAAAATGTCAGGAGAAAGAGGATCACCTTGCCTACAGCCTTTTGTAATATGGAAGAATTCTAAAGCAAAACCATCTACACGAACACTTGATGTAATTTCATTACAAAAGGTTTTAAGGCATTGTACCAAGTCAATGATGCCTTTTCGAAATCGATTAATGTCACTAATCCTAGCATGTCTAGAAGTTCTTTTTAATCCATTATGTCGAATACTAGCCTCGTACGTTCGCCAATGCATCCACCTTTCATAAAACCTTTTTGATCTTCGCTTATAATAGGAGGGAGTTTTTGGGCAGCTATTGTTGCAAGTCCAAGATCATATGAGGCCGATGCTATTTTGTAAGATGTGTTAATTAGTGATATCGGTCTATAATTAATAAGTATTTGTTCTTTTGACTTCCCTGTTTTTGTAATGCATGTTGTAAGACCTTGTTTTTGACTGACCGAAAGTCCACCGTGTCGGTATGCAGAGTTTAATGAATTAAATAAGTATTATTTATAAATGTCATGTCATAAAATTCTGTTGTAAATCTTGATGGTCAGGGACCTTTTTCAAACTTCATCCATTTTACGCATTACGACTTCATCATATTGTAATTTGCCTTCGATGGATTCAGAATCTTTGTCAGATACCTTTGGCATATTGTAGTAACCATGTAATTTGTTCAAATTTTCTGCATTTGAATTAAATGTACATGTCAGTGTTATTACACCACTGATAACACAAATTACATCTTACAAGAACATAGTTTCACAATATCTTATTATCTTCTATTTACTGAAAACGGAGACGGATGAACAGCATTTATATGTACGTTGTTAAACGATAATATGGTTTGTTTACTAATACAAATTTGTTAATGTACATGTCTAAGACTAGTGGGATAAAATCGGTTGCATTAACTTAGAGGCACATTATTCACTACCAGTAACATTATTATATAAACTTCCTTGATATGTTATTGTTACTTTGTTTCAGACCGCAAGATACGAGTAAGTTATATATTTCACGTTTTCTTTGCAACCTTTCTAACTGAACTTGTTGAAGTCACTGGCACTGGATCAGCTGTTTAAATGTTTTCTATGCGATACTTTTATGATATGTTCAGATTAAAAGTAAACTGCAGCGGAGAGAGAGGTTGGGGGTTCTGAATTATTATTCTTGTCATAAATATTAATAATACGCCATTGCCGTACCAACTGTCCCAACATTGTTGAACCAATTCAAGAACCAGGATGTAGACTTTTCTGCACAATAATCCCAATGTTGAATATGGGACTGATAATTTAAAAATAATTAATTTCCAAGAACATATTTTTTTTCCAATGTTTGTTTGTTGTTTAACGTCGCAGTAATATTCCAGTGATTTTATTGGGAAACTTCATGCGTTCGGGTATAAGGACCCACTCTTTATACAAGCTTTCGACTCCGACCACCAGGTCCAAGTTACTGAGGAACTATACTAACCCGAAATCCGTAGGCCATCGATCAAGTCAACCCAATTCTAACCTGTATCTTCTATATTGTTAGTTATTATACTGTCCTTTGTCGGCAGTATTTTTGGTAAATATTGTATAACTTGTTCAAGTCACATTATGGCTGAAATATTGCCGACGTTACTTAAAATTAAATTCACTCACTCACTAACCTGTATCTTCACGGGGGATCAGTTGTTTTTCCTCTTGTTGCTTCCTCGATCATTCGTTCGAAAATATTTCAGCAACGTCGGATGGTCGGCACGTCTGCGCATAGGTGAATTGGTTCAGCAAATCTCAGTTAATATGTTCAAAATGTCTTTTGGTGGCGGCCATATTGTGTTTTAACTTCAATCTATATTTCTTTTACATTTTGATTTGAAAGAAAATACTGTCTTCCCATGTTCTGTATAGGAAACATTAACAGTTAATATGAAACATCCAAATTAGGCGTTAACATTTCAAGTTCTCAGTCGCATGTCAAAAGTCACATCGAATTGAAGTTACCGTCTGAGTGAATTGTCTCATAACTAACTCTATGAAACACCATATATCTCCGAAGCTTCCGGGCCGATAGCTTCCTCATTTTGTATAATGCACAGTATTGAATCAAAACAGTGGGACCTTCTGCTTTAAAGTCCTAATGAAGTCAGCAAACTGACTCAGAGTAATACGGATATCTTTGTTTTTGTTTTGCGGAATAGCGTTGCGAAACCGGCGATGATTGAAGAAAAACAAATAAACATTATGCTTAGTGAGCGATTTTTAGTGAGTTTGTCTTCCGTATGGCTAACGTGATGCTTTAAAAAAGCATGTATATACCAGGTGGGTCCAATATATATATATAAAACAAAAACAGTGATTTGAATTTAAATAGGTCCCCGACAATCTGGATCGGATGAGCAGTCTTGGTAGCTTTGTATGGATCGTTGCTCACAATATCGATCACTGGATTGTTTGGTTCATACTCGATATTAGTGCGGCGTTGAAGAAAGAAAGAAGGAAACAATAAACCATTAGACATTGCATGAATTTGTCGCTTGCAGCCCGGTATTGATGATTAGAGCTATATTCGGACTGTGCAGAAATTGTACATGTATGAATAATAATAAAAACGTCTACATGATCACGAACACGATCACAAATATTATCAGGAATGATGATTATGCTAATTTATATGTGAAATCACAATTATTAAATCAATTGGGTTTGAGATGTATCTACATTTCCAGGTGAGCTACAGTGTCGAGGCATTTTGTTGTGTATATATTTGTGAGTCAACGTTCTGAACATATTATTGTTTCATCCTCAGTGTTTTGCATTTTAAGCTGTTGTGAAAAATGGTATGAGGCTGGGTAGATTTTACTGCCACTTGGTGGATATTTCTGAGGTACATGACGTTTGGCGTCATGGCAAGTATGATAGATGGCAACCATATTGGTCATGTCAATCTGTCCTATTACTTCTCCATGTATATATGATGCTATGTGTTTTGTTTTTGGAGACTTGTTTATATCCTGGCCTGAACTTTGACCTTCACACTACTGGTTTTCATTGATCTGTTCATATTTTGCCTTTTACGCAAAACCTGTTTCAGCAATCCACAAGGTTGTCTATTCGTCGCCCATAAAGTATTAATATCCAACACTTTTCCTAGGAGGCAACTAATGGGATCTGATTGTCGGGCTCGCTCACCTGGTTGATGCATGTCATCGTATCCCAATTGCGAGGATCGATGCTCATGATGTCAATCACTGGGTTGTCTGGTCCAGACTCGATTACTTACAGACCGCCGTCATATAGATGGAATATTGCTTAGACAACAAACAAGGCAAACACTATCTGAAGCTATTTACTTTTCCATTCAAAGGTGATGCATTCATCAGGCAACCTCAGGCAACCAGTGGAGACACAGATGAAGGTAAATATAGAATACTTTTCAAGGGATGATGCATCTATAAATATTCAATACAAAACACTGCTTAAATAGATGTAACCATAAGGATGGGTTCGAGCAGAATATAATGTTGTCCATTGACTTACACAGTCTTTCCTTCGTTTCTTGAGGTTGAATGTGATTTATCTAAGGTAAAGCTGCATTGAAACAGTAGAAATGACAATACGTTTCCACAGGAACACGTATTTATCGTGTTCGTCAACAAGTTGCGTATATACCTAACTTACACACTCACAATATAACTGATATTATGTATAAAGCAACGTTTTCACGCACTCACTATTCGAAAACACACTCAATCACTCAACCACTTTTGAAGAGCTGCCCTTAATTACATTGAACGTCAATGGCATGTAGCTACTTCGAACATCTAGTTATGAAAATGGAATTATATTAGTATTAGGTAGGCAATACTAGGTGTGTTTCTTAAACCCAGAATCTGATACACTTGGTGACATAAAGCATACTGCAGATAAAATATTTAAAAAATGTTAAATATCATATTAAAAAAACACACCGTATTTTGTTTCTTTAATCAGAAGGAGATGCAGTGGAGATGGAGCCGCTGATAAACTCTGGCGTCATGAGTGAAGGTAAATACAACAGTAGAATACAATAGATAAAAAATGAAAAGTGGATATAACAATTGCTTTAGTATGTTTAACAATTAACACAAGTAAAATATGCTCTTTCTAACAAATAATATCATAATAGCATGAATGATATTGAAGGTGTAGAGAAAAGTATTTATCTCAAATATATAATGAAGTATGTACATTGACAGATATAATGGACATGGAGATGTCAAAGGCAGGAGAAGCCTTCGTCAAAACTGAAACATACAGGCGAGTGAAGCAAACGTTGAAAGAACATGGACATGTGACATTGAGTGGGTTTGCAGGTGGAGGAAAGACTGCTATTGCTTCACAGTTATTGAAACACTGCAAGAAGAGAGGATTTCTGATTGTTCATGTAACTGATGTTTGTAAATTTATGGTGCATGATAACTTAGTTGAAGGAAAAAGCATGTGTTTCATATTTCATGACATATTCAAGACGGTGGATTTGACAAGAGACATGTCCAATCTTCAAAGCAGTTTGCATCAACTCAAACAAAAGGTCAACACATCTATTGCAGAACAAGATAAGAAAATATATGTGATAGTAACTGCAAATACCTACAATGTTAAAGTTGACATATCAAAGCTTGGGGAAGAAGGAGTTTATTTCTTTACTGGTCCGTCTTTCCACGACTTCAACAAATTGTCATGTCAGTACACACCCGAGGAGAAGAAGCAGATATTTGAAAGCTGTTGTCAAGGTGTTGACAACACTCTCGATTTGAAAAAGATTTGTGAATTTGAACAATCAACGTTAGGTTTTCCTCAAACGTGTAAACTTTTTTGGGGCTGGAAACCTTTTCGAAAGTATCGTGAAGATTTTTTTGAGAAACCCTTTCAGTTTCTTCAACAAGAAATGAAAACAAGTCTTGAGCAAATGGACAATCACTCATCAGCACTTATCCTCATGTTTCTGTGCGAAGATTCACTTAATTTGCAGCAAGTAGAACAACCTTCTAAAAACAAAGTTTTGGAGTGTCAGTTTACAAGAATGCAAGATGTTGTAACCTTTTCAACACGGACAGCAGTCGCCAATGCTGCCAGAGAGTTTGGTGGTGTTTTCTTAATCAAAGGAGACATCACAGGATTTGCACACCCAACCATCTATGATGCCTGTGCTTGTGCCTTATTCAGCCTCAATCCATCCTTAGTCTTGGAACATTGTCATTTAAAGTTTCTTCGTGAGAACGTGCAGTATGATCAACATCTTGACACTTCCACTGTGGACAGTTATCGACCCATTATTCACGTATCAGACGTCTACACTGACGTCATTGCTAAAAGATTAGGTAATAAATCTACAGCTTTTTCATAGTTGTAAACCTTATATTGAAAACCTATAAAAAGAATATATGTATACATACAATTCTGGCATGTTCTTTCTTCAAAATATGGCCTCATCTTTAAAATGGTATAAACATGAGAGCCAGGCCCCTTTAATACATAAAAAAAAACAATTTTTAACAAACTGATTTCACATTTTATTCTTCAGATAGGATCAATGACGATTCAATGACGAAGATGCTACAAAATGGAGACACTACATCTGGTGTCATGAGTAAAGGTCGATATATAATAATACATTTTGGAAAGGTTTGATGTCTGTTGAAAATCAGACATTTTGACTGTTCGCTTCACATCACGTTGAATATCTGAACTTCATCTATCACCTGCATCATCGCTATCACTAGGCAGTAACCTTCACCTCATTCTCGTTTAAGCTGGCAAATTCCAGGAACAGATTTATCAAATTAGTGAAAGCAGCAAAACCTTTCCCATATTCATTAGAAAGCACTGCTGAATAAAGAGTTGATTGTGCATCCACGACAATATCGTGAGCATGTGTTTTTTATGACTAAATAGTGATGATACCAGGTGTTCCCGTCAAAAACATGTGCAAAAGCAAGTCAGTCCAATAAGGAATTGCATCTTTCTTATTTTTTGTGAATGTTGCGTCAAAGTTGGAAATGCTCTCCACACATCTTATATAAAACTGAGGCTTTGAATGTTCTAAACTTGATCAAATAATTTCTGAGCAAAATTCTTATGACACTCTTTGAACTCTTGGTAGAAAGAGCATGATCGATTGTATCTCAAAAGTTATATAAAATGTTAACACCAAAGAATAGAGCTGCTCGAAAGTTGACTATTTGAAAGTTGAAGTCATCCCTCTTGTCTTGGTGGAAAGAGCATGCTCGATTGTGCTTCAAAAGTAGAGACATTGCAACACAAAGGAAAGAACCCTATTAGATAGTTGAAGTCATAAAGTCTTTTCATACTGACTTGCGGAGAGTGTTTTCTCACTCTGAATTCTTGTGCATAGATCTCGATATGAAACAGATTAGGTGGCCTCACTGGTCTCCTGTAGAAGGTCATTCTTTGATTGTCTTCAGGCCTATTGTTAATCTTTGAGACAGAGGTTTGGTGGTATATTTGTTGGACCAAAAAATATAAATATCTTTGTTTGATTCTTATGGAGCTCTAGAATCCAGTATATTAGAAGAATGGACATTTTAGAGTCAAGTAAAACTATTGAATGTAACTAGCAGTTATCAAATGCTTTGCAATTATCATAATGTTGACTTGCTGGACTATTACATATTCAGTGAAACCCCTTCCTCAGTTGAATTGAAGAAACAAACACTTACTTTTTTTATGTGACACGTGTTTCTGGAAGGGCAGGAGTGGACACGCTTACTCTTTTCGTGAACAAGTGTGTCATCACTCAGTTTCAATTTCATATCGCATATCTGTTATGTGTCTTTGCTAGCATAAAGGTTTGTCTTAAGATAACTATATGATGATTCGAGTAGATTATATAAATCTCTGGAAGCAATAGGGTTTCACATTATTTCGTTTGGAATTAAATATTACTGAAACAAGTAAGCCACATCTGACTATCTTTCCTATATCTTTAATATATACCTCTTGCTATATTTTCAGCTTTGCTTGACAAAGAGATGGGTAACACTGCAAAGGACTTTGTGAAAACTGACATATACAGGAAAGTGAAGGAGACATTGGAGAAACACGGACATGTGACGATGAGTGGTGCCGCAGGTGGAGGCAAGACAGCTATAGGGTTAACCTTGGGGAGACACTATCAAAAGGAAGGCTTTGACATAGTTTATGTTGTTGATATTTCTAAATTCAGCGTGGACGATTATGCAATCAATGAAACGAACATGTGTTTCATATTTCACGACATCCTTAGAACGAGAGATAGTTCTAATCTGAGAACCGTTTTGCAACAACTGAAGCAGCACAAACTGCAGAATGAAAAGAAAAAGAAACTGTATGTGATATTCGCTGCAAACACTTACAATGAAAAGGATGAAATATCACAGCTTGGGGAAGAAGGAGCCTTTTTCTTTAGTGGTCCGTCTTTCCTCGACTTCAACAAGTTGGCTTGTCAGTACACACGCAAGGAGAAGAAGCAGATATTTGCCAATCTATGTAAATATGTTCACAACGATCTCGACGTGGAAAGGATTTGTAGTTTCGAACAGTCTATATTAGGCTTTCCTCAAGCATGCCAATTTTTTGTTTGTTTTCCAAATTTTCAAACCCATCGGGAAAAGTTTTTTGAGAAACCTTTCAATTATTTAAAGGAAGAAATCGTCTCAATTCTTGACGGTGAGAATGATCAGTCAGCCGCACTTGCCCTGATGTTTCTGTGTGAAGGTTCTCTGAACTTGCACCAAGTGGAACTGCCATCTGACAACAGGGCTTTAGAGGATCAGTTCACGACAATAAAAGACACTGCACGTATTACAACGCGTACAGCTGTTGCTATGGCTATCAGGAAGCTTCGTGGTAGCTTCTTCACAAAAGGAGATATAACAGGATTTGCACATCCTGCCATCTATGATGCGTGTGCTTGTGCCTTGTATACGAACCACAGAGCGTTCGTGCTGAAATACTGCAGTGTCAAGTTCCTTTGTGAACATGTGCAGACGGATTCCACTGTTGATGATGAGCGTCAACCAATGATCTTTGTCTCAAAAGCCTATGTTGTTGAAATTCAAAATCGTTTGGAAAAAATGACTCCCCAGCATCCTTTATACAACACCCTTAAGAAAGTGATCCAGGCAAAATAGGCTGAGTGTAGCAATGATTACAAGCAAAGATATTTGAAAGTCATTAACTATGTTGCTAACGGTCTGATAACTGTGATGTTTGAAAAATAGTGTTTCAGACTGTTAAAAAGAAAGACATTGCCTGCCACAGAATTAACATGTTGCAAGGTGTTTTTCTTAAAATAAATTCAGGTTTAAATTTATCCGTTTTTATAGCTGTAGATTTGCGTTAAAAAGGTGTGGGTATCCTGAAGTGCAGACTGAAACATATTTTCTGTCTAAAACCAAAAACCTAGCACCAACATAATATTGGAGGAACGGTACAATTATTCGTGCTTACATGGGACACTCTTAGTCATACACGACCTAATGTGACCGAAAAGGTGTACGATACAATAAGGTATAAATCAAGGAGTTTAAGAGTTGGGTAAAGTTAAGAATTAGCATGTATCTAAATACATAATCGATTGAAGTCAATATGCAATTCACTATCATAACAGGACTATATGTTGTATTCTGTCACTTGTAATCGGGGTGACGAGTTTTTATATTTCTGACACCACGAACAAACATGAACGGTAATATCCGGGGAATTAGATGAATCGGTTCTCAAAAGAGGCATGGTCTTATAAACGAATTTGTAACCTGTACTGCACCATAACAATATCTCAAACATTTTATTGTGCTTAGCTGTCAACAGACTGAGGCACGGGTGGTCCCGCGCGTCTGAGGCGCGCAATTAGCTGTGCGATTTTGCAAACCTTTTCCACGACAGAAACCTGTACTTACTGGTTTCTAGGTTTTAAACACCATTAACTTGCTCGTGGGTTTCATTTGAGACCTGCATTATGTAGGCGTTTCCACCCATTTTACGCTGACACGCCGTGATGTAACTGGAAAAATGCTCAAAGCAGCGTTAAGCCCAACTCAGTCACTCACTCAATATTCAACTACCAGCATCTAACGTAATTGTCTGTCCTGAGTCAGACTGATCTCTATACAATTAAAGAGCAATGTCAATGAATGTAACCTGTTTGATCGTTATTCTGTATGTACATCTGGCTATATCTTATTATCTGTGTGTTTCTTGTTATCAATTACGCATTATTGTTAATGTCAATCTTCTGCTTGTCACGCCATATCATGCATATACCCATCATTACTTTGCGTGATAACTGTGTAAGAATCTACATGGAAACGTCACTACATACAATAAACCAGAAATTGTTTTCCACAAGGGTGTATGTTTTCTTTAAAACTAATGTTGTATTTAATCCTGTTGGCTACGATAGATAAGTGCTTTCTTTTTTTAATATGTCTTCTTTACCATTCAAGGTCTTGTGGCATTGATTGTCATCTCTAATGTTCTTGCGATAACCATCATAAAATACGTAAATTTACAATGTGTTACAACAACGAGGGCTACTTTTTAATGTGAAATGTTGACTGGAGATACAGAGCTTATATTGAACACCCACAGAAAACTACGTCGGTCAATTCAATTTATGTCAAATAAATGTTAGTCATGACATGATTGAAATATTACCGATGTGACTATAAATATTCACCCACTCACGAACGTAATGTCTAAACCTAAAATAAATCGCCAACGTAAGGGAACAATTGCAATCAGGCTCCTTTCATCCATCGAAACAGATCCCACCTGGCCCATATCTTAATGAATATTTGCATAGCGCCAATACAAGACAAATACAAATACAAATTGTATCATACGACCTGAGCCTTGTTAATATGTCAGCTAATACTGAATCAGCTGACATGATCTCTGTCCTTTCACGAAACCTGGTCTCCTTACTGATTGTCAGTGATATGTTTATATGATATACTGTAAGCCCTACTTTCTGCAGTCACTGGAAGATATCAGAGTCTACGGGCCCAGTATTGTGACCAGACAATTGCGTGGCAGTGGTTCTGTTTTAAACCCACGTTGACTTTTTGATAATAAAGTACTAAATACCCTACACAAGAGGAATGTCAGCACACACATGTTTATTCACATACCACAATGTCTCACACGGACAATTGACAATTGTCACGCCAAACACGTGTAATAAACAAGATGGCCGATCTTCACAGAGCACTTGGCGTCCATTGATACTATTCACATGATACATGCAACACAGAGATTCGCGGGATGACACTGACCACGTAAACAAGGAAACAACAGTCCGCTCTTCATCCATTTGTACAATTCATACCATAGTTACGAAACATGCAGGTATTTACGACCCGTGAAGCAACCCATGCTTGTCGTAAAAGACGAGTAGCAGGATCAGGCAGACTGACTTGGTTGATGAGTGTCGTGATTTTACATAACTTATTGTGTTGCTGTACAAGGTAGAAGGAACATGCACATAATTTTGAAGTACCAACGTTAAACAAGTTACCAGACTAGAACAGTCCGTCCACACAATGGTAAATTCTAAAAATGTCACGAGGCATAATTGCCAGTAGATTTTATTGTTAATATGCAGACTTTTATCAGCTTAGCATGTCATCGTATCCCAATTGCGTGGATTGATGCTCCTGATCACTGGATTGTCTGGTCCAGACCGCCGTCATACAGCTGGAATATTGCTGAGTGTTTAAACAACAGCGTTAAATTAAACATCAAACAAACAATTACTCTCACCGGAGGCGGTGTATACACAACTTAAACAACAACTTAAACAACTGATAACTGACGAAATATGTGAGTGAGTGAGTCAGTTTGGTTGTACGCCGCTTTTAGCAATATTCCAGCAATATCACGGCGGGGGACACCAGGCATGGGCTTTACACATTGTACCCATGTGGGGAATCGAACCCGGGTCTTCAGCGTGACGAGCGAACGCTTTAACCACTAGGCTACCCGACCGCCCCGACGAAATATGTGTGACCTTGACATGGACAAACTATTCTGTACAGCAGGAGATATCCATGAGTGCATTGAAATACAAAAGAATCTGAATTAATGGGTTTTACTCAGGACAGGAGTAAAAAAAACAGGACGCCTTCGTCACGTGACTAAAATGAATGTTGATAGACAATATATGAGATGTGCACAAAAGGCAGGGAAACCTTACACCTCACATAGGACTGCGTATCGCGTGAGTTCAGCAGTGTGTGCCGCTGCAATTGTCATTGTTAAATATCACCTCCGATTTTGTTGCTGATCTGTTTTTGAACTGAAACTAAAGCCAGTTTGAAATCTTTAGAGCTGACCTCAAAACCTACCTGATAGCATGCTTCCAATGCAGTGTTTAAACCTCATTTTCATTGTTATTCGAAATTTCAATGCATACTTTTATATTATTTTAAATTTATGATTCTTGGAAGCGATTTGGGTAGCCATTCGCGTCTAGATTGAATATACAAATGTACATTATTATGCTGTTGTAAAATATTATTTTCTGTCATCCTTCTGTTGTCTGACCTCGTGCATTTACCTCATTAAATCCTCCTTCAGATTTATATGTTACTCGATTCTGTTTACACAATAAAATATATAAATCTGAACTATATAGTACATAGTATCTAGCTAATATATATATACGGTCAACACATTGATCAATGTGCCGGGAATAATACACAAATTTTGTGATATTCCCTTTTTACAAATGTGACAATGATGCACTCAGAAAGATAAAAGAAAGTTATTTTATTAATACTTTAAAACCAAAATTAAATGACCTGAAATAATTGAATTATTTTATACAATTAAAGTACATTTTACTCCCTCTACAATACTTATTTCTGTATGTGTCGTACGCCTGTCTTATTGTGACGTCACAAAGTCATACTATATTAGTGTGCACTGTGACGTCAAAGCAGCGTAAAGGTATAACTATACTTTTGAAAATCATATTCGTGAAACCGGTTGACTAAATTACACAGCTCATCTTTGGACGTTTGCATTTTAACTATGTAATATAGTATATGTATGTATGGTTCAGACTAATGCTTATGTTATAGTGCAAACCATTTCAATACTTTTATTTAAAATAGTGCAAACCATTTCAATACTTTTATTTTACATTTCATTTATCTAAATACCTCACTGGTTCAACATGTTTCCAAGTGCACCGAAATTCTATACCCGGATTATTCTCCATCATCTGTCCAAGGGCGTAAGGTAAGTGACAGAACGGTTCTCCCACCCGGGAAGATTGGCCACTCGGTCCTTGGTGCGATCTGTCACGTTATTATCAACATGTACCTTTTCGACTCATTTCAACCATCAACAATAAATATGGCTGCTGTCGTTCTAAACTTCACCCCTGAGTTTTGTCTTCCGTCATCACCCTGAGCTACCATCCGAGGGCCGAAACGTAAATTTACGCCCTTGGACACTTATACACAGTTGTGTTTGTCACACCGAGTGCTTCAGTTGAGTTATTTGATAAACTGAATTTGATACATAAAGTTCAATTTTGGATTAGGTAAAAGCTGGATGTATTAATGTAAATGCATAGCTTTTAATAAAATATGCATAAGGACAGTTATTTGAGGGACTCATGAACCATTTATCATGTTTATCATATCTTTTCATTTTTCGAAATACAAGTTCTGTGTTGATAATTTTATTTTTTTAATATATATTCCCCACTCAGCACACAATTTATATCGATTATCCTTTTCTGTAAATATAAATCACTGTCCGCAAATATTACAACATCATTAAAAAGTAAAATTGATAATGCCTGTACAGCTTTATCTAAAAACTACTACTACAATCAATGATCACCATAACATTCACACGTTCACCAATGTGCAAGCTGAAAAAATGAAGTGATAATAGTATTCATGTCTTTCACCTGCACATGCATTGATTGCACCAGATAGTCTATTTCTACTGCATCTTACATATTGATTACTAAACGAGCTCCCGTGCAATTCCAATTTTATGAAACTAGTGAATAGTTGTGGTATTGACGAGCGAAAGCGAGTCAGATAACAGAACTATTCACGAGTTTCATAGAATTGGTATTACACGGGAGCGGGTTCGGCATTTTATTTATTACTTGTCATTTATAATTACACTGTCGTGTATGAATAGACACACACCTACACGATCCTCAACGTAATCCAATTCAGATTAACAGAATAATACTTCAAACACATCAAACGTTGACACATATTTATTTAATACCATACAACGGCCCGCCATGAGAATTCAGCGTCCGTTCCACAAAGTTGTCGTAGCGCTGAGGTTATCGCAACTCACATACTGTAACAGAAACGTACGACTGTCGTTGCGCTTCAATACGATCGCCATGTGGAACCGGTTGTTGCACCTCAAAGGGTAAACTCACGTCACAATAATATATGACGTCATAGTGAAATTTTGTTGCGAGATCCACCTGCGAAACAATGCCATGTGACGTCAGCCTAGCAACGGGATTGCTGGGGTCTTTGAGTGTGCATAAGCTCCTGTCAGTGATCTTATCATCTCTTCACGCAATGCCGTTGAATGAACCAAGAGATGTTGAGAGCTTTCAATGTTTGTTGTTTCCACAGTACATAAGCACGCGTTTTGGTATAACACAATGTGCAATACAGCTATATGTTTATTAAACGGTTGTCTCTTGAGGGGCAAGTAATAAAGTTCTTTTTTCACCTTTCTGTCTGATATATGCCTGTATTGCTTAATATAAAATATAGTATTTATTATATTAAAATATCAATCTTAGAAAGTTGATTTGAGTGGAAACACAAATGTATTTGTGGGACTTACAAATTGATATGAATATTTTACTTATAATGTCTAACATGACAATAGCTCTATAGTTGTGTGCTTCACCCATGGAGCCTTGATTCTGGGAATTCACAATTCTCAAGAATATGGTTAAAAAGAAACATAAAATCCACTTGATTTCGCAGGTTCTTTTACTATTCCACTTTTTCATATTTCCCTAGTAAACAGTTCCTCGCAGTTTAACAGTCATCACAATAATTTCTAGAAAGTCTTAGACACCCCTATCAAAATATTAATAATAGGCTCTTTATATTGCGCAGATTTCCACACCACTATTATTACCCCGGTCGTAGGATCAGTGTGCACTCAATCATTCTCAGCTCCCTGGGGAGTATACATCACCATCTCATCCTACCGGGTACCCATTCACTGCTTGTTGAACAGAGGCACATTTCAAACAAAGTCACTTGCCCAAGGAGACACCACATGTGGTACATGCGCTTCAGTGTGGGGCAGGACCGAAGCCCTAGAAACTCCCA